CCTGTTACACTGCCTTCTTCTGCTTCCTCCGGCACGCTTACTGCGGATGGTGACAGATCGACCCCGCAGACTCCAACCTGGCAACTGGCCGAGCCCGAAGTCACCCAGTTCACGTCCACGACGAAGGTCAGCACAGAAGAGTACGACCCTTTCTCCTACCAGGGTCCGACCTACACCGCGAAGTCTGTCCAGCCTTTCACCCGGACTGTAATAAGATCAGCTCTGCCTACGCCTGCGCATACCCCTCCGCCCACGGTGTCCGAGTCGGAGGATAAGTTCCACGATTTCAACGCCGTGCACGGTCAGACGGCTGTAGCCATGCAGAACTCCCTCAGATCAGTGCTTAACATCTACTTCCCACCCAAGGGAAGAGGGTTCTCTCAGTTCAACTTTCCGTTGCTTCCCGAGATGGACGCACTGTGGAAGCCGATATTCCGGGACGTTGAGCCTGGTGGAAGTCCAAGAAAAGACAATCACCGAATAGACCAAATCCTGGCCATAGGTGCGCAACGTGGAGTCAAGAAAACATTTGTCTCTGGAGTAACTAGCCAGCTTGAGAAGTTGGGCACAAAGTCGAGCGGCATTTCGAGGACCGGCAGGCTGGATTTCCGGTAAGTTCTTTTCTTTGGGTGATCTTTCCGCCTCTTGACTAACGAAACTTCTCAGATATCTCATTGCGAACGCGATGCAGTCCTTCACCGCACAGCCACTGGCCAACCAGACTCAAGACAACCCTTTCACCAACTCATATCTTCTGGCGACGCTTATCATTCCTCATCTTGAGACTTTCTTTGCTGCGCACTCCGAAGTCCGTTTTCTGATTCTCGACTACCCTCCGGATCATCTTGCCACCATCCTCGCTTTGCAGAAGTTGGTCGGCGTCGATTTGATGAAAGTTGCCCAAGTCATTGATGCTCAGGCCAAGGAGCCACTTCCCTTCACTCATGTTCGAGGTAGCTCCTTGGGACGTATTCCTACTGTGAGTGACTTGGCATCGAGCTCAAGCTCACTCCAGTCCAAGGGATCGAGATCTGCCGCATCGACATCTTCGCGAGATGGGCTGGCAGTTTCCAAGGCCAACTTTCTCCTCGCATCCACCGCAACAGAGGCGGAAGTTGCGACTTTTGTGTCCACCATCTGGAAGACCCTGGTTAGCATCTCCAAGTTTTACTTGCCTGAAGAAAGCAAGAAGCTTGAAGAGAGTAGTGTCAAGAGCAAGCGGCAATCCGGGAACTTCTCGGCATTCCCTCAGGCTTCGATGAGCCCTCCGATGTCTCCGCCATCCTCCAGTGGTCGCAAGGCCGTGAATAGGGCATCAGGCTCTATCAGAACTTCAGCCCGACCTTCTTCCATCGCAGAAACAATCATGAGTCGCCGATTCAAGTCACGACGAGGCGACAGAAAAAGCGTCGGCGATGCCACATCCATCTTAACCGTCGATATGGACTACGAGAGCGATCTAGACCTCGAGGAAAGACGTTTGATGCCCATGTTCTTGAAGAAGAACCAGGTCCGGAAGGGAAACAGCCGCAAGGCCCTTAAGTTTCTCGGCCTAGCTTGATAAGTCACTCCGTGACTTTGTACCGTTACTTGTATCTGTAGGGCTAAATGGCTCGGCCCTGCATCTTGTTTTCCTTTTCTTTGAAATGACCCCATCACGACGTTTCATTCTCAGTCTCAACACCATGGCATAAGGTGTTGCATCATGTTGGAAGAAGAGCCACATTATGTCGAAGGGGGAAATGGGGCAGAGGGCCGAGAGATGGATGGATACTTGCTGCTCGGTTTCAAGATCGATGATCTTGTTCTTTGCTCTTATCATCAGTTCCGAGCGCGTCATATGCGCGATCTTTCAGTTGCAGTCTTGGCTGGACAATACCCAGGGACAGATCTCCCATAGATACGAAATGAAACTTTCAGAGCGCCTGCATTCTTCCTTCTTGGTGTTGATACTTCGCCTACTTGGCGCGTCAGTGATGGTGGCACCTTGAGGTATCAAATAACCGACTTGTGTTGGACCTCTCGATGGGACTATACGTTCAAAGTAGAGGCCTCGACGGATACTGCAACATCAAGTGAGACAGAATAACATCAGGACCATGGTCATAATTGCCAGTAGCTCGGACTACTTCGACATCTCCATCCAGAACAACTCACTGCTTTTGAAATCTGGCCTGACCAAGTCGTTGCGCATTTGCACACAAAGACATCTGGGCACGCACCAAAGTCCTGGACATCGTTATCACGCCGGCTCAAAAGTCCGCCAACACCATCGAGCTCTCCCACCAAAATTATCTCCAGAATCCCCCACCTTCTTACACGACACATGGCTTCGAATGTATCTATCTCAGTTTTCCATTAATATCTGAATACGACGCTGATCTGAAGGATTAGGGAGATGTAAGATTTTCTGAATTTAAGTCTAAGGTGATAAATTTAGTGTGAGGAGACTGGAGAGAACTTTCAAGTGACCCTTGATGGTACTTCTGACTCACAAAAAGTTCATTTTCTTTGATAACAAGATACTTGGAAGTCGAGGGAAACCACAAAACCCAATATGCCGCCTCCAAGAATCGCCATAGATCCATCTCCATTTGCCTTTTGCCTGCGTTCAAGACCCCGAAGTCTCTCCCTCCCCCCTTGAGTATCAGCCAAACATTCAACAATCGATATCCATCATCCAACACTCATCATCCAACACTTAAGACGAGACCAACGAGATGAGCCAACGAGGATATTATAACGACCTCGGCGAGGACATCATACCGGCGGGTACCCCCTCCGACAACGGCATCCCACACCGCATCCAACAGCACTCTGAGATTGCCCGATTGTCTCAGGATCTAGAAAATAACCCGTCAAACCTCGATACACTTGGACAAGATACTCGACGAGTTCAAAGACATCGAGGGACCAGAGCTTTCTCGCCTGAAGGGAGAAGGCATCGATGTGCCGATGGCGCGTCTCGGTGGGCTCGATCTGAACTACAAGATCTGCCGAATCGAAGAAGATCTCTCGGCCCCTCGAGAAACATCCGCAGAAATCGACAGCGATGCCGCGGCGCAGGAATGTATCAAATGGAAAAGGTGCCGAGACTCCCTGGGCCAAACAGTGTTCCAGAAGAGGTCCCATATTATCGAGCATCTCAACGTGGCGAGCCTCTGGGGACCTTGTGCCAGGACCATAGCCCAGGGTGTGGAGACCTACTACGGCAGGTTTGATAGATACCAGACAAAGTCCCTGGGAATCAGTAATTGGTTCCGCAATAAAGCTCTGCTGTACTACGGAGGGCAATCTTGCAAATACCAGGCCGCAGAAATCTCCAGGACGGACACCGAGATGGCAAATCTTTGGGCCGAACCCTACGAACACTGCTGGTGTCACGCCACCGGCTCGTGGATGCATCTAGCAGACACACCAGATGACGAGCATGCTCAACCCCTGCCTCAGCGCTATGCCGCCGCGAACATTGTGCCGTATTCCTCGAACGTACTTCATGAGATCTTGGATCACCTTTTCCGTGAGAGAACGGGCGAATTGAGCGGGCCGGCGCATTCACTTTTACTTTCGACGCTGATCCAGTATTGGTTCAACCATTATAAGCTAGTCATTGTCCCTGTTGATCCGGAAGAACAGCCACTCAAACGATGGAAGATCGACATCCTCGACAAGGGCATAGAGGATGAACCCCCTTCACGACGTAACCCTCACACCTGGTGGGGATAGACCTCGCAGAGCCAGACATCTTCAGGACAGAGAATCGGTATTACTCAACGACAAGCGACCGGCTGCACGATTTCTGTATTTCCATTTCATTATGGCACTTCTCCGCTTGAAGGATACCAAGTCGGAGAGCGGGAAAGACGCCCGGGCAAAGTACTTGTCCCGTGACCTGTCCCCAACCCTTCTTCACTTCCTATCTCCTTAAGGGGTAACACTCTTCTCTCCCCCCTTAATCATGGGCCACACCCATTCACTACCTATTAGAGTATATTCTCCTATGTATGTAAGAACAATTTTGATGCGAAAGGGCAGTACTTGTGATATGAGTAGTGAAAGGGATACTGATTGAAATGTATGGTAGGAAACCAATTATGTTATCTTTGGGGAGTAGGTTCGATTCCTGGTTTCACTTCCAAGTGATTCGTAAAGAGTAAAACCTAACGCTATCTTGTACGAAACCCTCGTATGCGCCGCCCATCATACTCTCGTTCGACATGCAAATGCTCGTTGACTAGGTTGGCAAACGCCTAGATTGGTTCAGGCTGAGACCTCACGCGGGATGCTTTTCACGAACTGGGAAACAAACGGAATCGTCACCCTCGATTGCCGCAATATCAAGAAGGAAAACGTCACTTGCCCATTACTTCGACCCTATCTACCAGAAAAGCAGCAGCCGCCAAGGATTGGAAACAAAAAAAGAGAAGACATGTGGCTGGGAACAAACGCGCAGACACCCATACGTACGGCCCGCTGCGTTGCCTATGTGCTCGCCCCCCGGCCAACCAAGCTTGATTGCAAAGCACACGATACGCCGGCAAAACAAAGCCTACGCTTGTAATACACATCGAGTTGACCTTGTTATTCACTCTGCGCTCAGTGAGATCCCTAGAAGTCTCCCACCGAACGCCCCAGAGTCTGGCTTCTGAATTGCCGTCAGGCACCAGGAGCCTTGTCGTTTGCCGTGAACAACGCCATGGGTCCAGTTACAGAGGTATCTTGTGTCGATTGTGTGTGTGCAGTGCGAAGGAGCTGGGACGAACCAAATCAACACTCATCTATGCGTAGAAGTATGGAAAGCAGCCTTTGCGCGGAAGGAGAGAAAAGCGAACGACACAGCATCGTCCGAGCCAAAATGTGATCCCTACACCGTCATGAGCTGTGCATTCCCTTCCTCGCCCATTCTGCCCAGCTGTATCCCCTCCGCCGAGAAAAATCCGTAAAATGCCATAGAACACAGGTAAGGAAAGCGGGCTTCGTAGAAATCAGGGACGATACATTTAGCAGCAGCCACCTCCCGAGTTCGAGGAGACACCGTGGCCGGGGCCAACCTGTACGGAGGGTTTCGTGTTGTTCGCGGTCGTGCTACCCATGCGCTCCTTGATCTGGCGGGCCATGGTCAGGAAAGCCTGCTCGACGTTGCTGGCGTTCTTTGCAGAGGTTTCAAGGAAGGGAATGCCCAAGCTGTCGGCAAATTCCTATTGGAGGGTTAGCAAACAGATGGTCAAAATAAAGAACTTTACAGTCCGAGTGGGAGTTGTCGGGCAATGTGTCGCATCAACAGCCGGCGGGGGTAATCTGACCTTGGCGACGGTGTACTCGACAACCTTCTTGTCGGACATATCGCTCTTGTTGCCAACGAGCAGCTTGTTGACGCCCTCGGTGGCGTATCTGTCGATCTCCTGGAGCCATTGCTTGACGTTGTTGAAAGAGTCCATGTCGGTGACATCGTAGACGACGCAGATGCCGTGGGCACCACGGTAGTAGGAGGAAGTGATGGTGCGGAAGCGCTCCTGACCGGCAGTATCCCACTACCAAGTAGATAAAAATGTCAGCATTTGCGACAGCCTCATTTCCTCGACAACATTCTCCACCAGGATCAACTCACGATTTGCAGCTTCACCGTCTTTCCATCGAGCTCTATCGTGCGGATTTTCTAAGGTTTATCGTCAGTAGCCGATCGGTCGGCGTCGGCAGAGTGGGGGATTTCATACAAAGTCGACACCGATGGTGGAGATGTAGGACTCGGTGTATGTGTCGTCGGCGAATCGCAACAGAAGGCAAGACTTTCCAACACCGGAATCACCGATGAGGAGAAGCTTGAAGAGGTAGTCGTACCTGGCGTCGGGTCAGTATCGATGTGGAACCTAAATCATATCGGCGATTTTCGCGCTTTGCGCGCCATGGCAGCGAAAAGATCGAAAAGACGACATCGATGAGGGGGGGAGACTCTGTGAGAGAGAACAAGGTCAGCTTAGCGGCGACTCCCGAGGATTCCTCGTTTCGCAAGGCAAGGAGGCGGAGGAGGCGGTTGAGGCAACGTACTACTCGGGGTTCATTGTGAATAGCGGGGGATCTGATCAAGGCTGGTAGGGATCGAGAGACGCGGCGGATATAGGCGCGCTGGGCGATTATATGGACGTTGTGTAGGTGTTGGGAGGTTGATGGATTTCGGTGGTGTCGTGTTGAGGTTCCAGGTTGTGAAAGCAACAAAGCCAGAGTCAGGACAGGTCAAGTGAGGTGGTAGGAGTCGGACGGAGTAAATGCAGGCTGCTGCTACGTCAAGGCTTCTAGCGCGGTGTACAGAGTACCAGTCAGGTGCCAGTCTCTGATTACCTTAGTGCTCGGTGTCCTGTGCCCATAGTCCTGTGTCCTGTGCAGTGTCCAGTGGGTTACCGCCTGGCGGGAGGAACAAAAGGACCCACGTCGACCTGGGCAGTCAGATGTCACCGACGAATGAAACTCTTTGGAGAGGCTAGTACGGCACGGGATCAAGCACGTGATACGTCTTTTTAGTGTTCTGGACCGGCTCCAGTGGGGCTGTTCAGACACCTCTGTGACCTTGGGGAGGCAGGCACCTGGCACGCAAGCAAGGCAGGGACGACATGTTGAGCCTGTCCTTATCCAGTGGCGTCCTCCAGGTCGGGTGTCTGCGCCTCCACACTACTTCTGGGACATCGGATTCCGGATGCAGTACGTAAGCAGGTGCCGGGGTCCGTCCTCGTTCCTGCAGTCCTTAATATCAGGGGGTCAAGTGCTATTTGTCTTCCATGAAACGCCTCCGCCAGCAGCTGCGACCTGCGGCGAAAAAGTTTCCTTTCAAAATGTCGGGTAGTATCTGATCTGGGGGCTCTTTCAACGTTGGAAAGCTTGTTTCGTTTCTTACCATCAATTCCGGTTCTATCATCTGCTAATACCCTTGCTCCATGAGCCATCGCCACATAAAGCAAGTTTTGGGCAATACGGGTATCCCCAGAGCAGTGACCTTGACAGGTATCCCTTTATCTGGGGGTGAGGCCGTTGGTGCCAAGACACCACATTCTGCGGTTCATGTGGAGCTTTTCAGGTCTTCAACCTCACTTATCCCGCATATCTACTTACACGTGCAGACCTTGGCTGACTTTCCATTCCCTTTTGATATATGACACGGTTGATGATTGTCAGAAAAGGAACTCCAAAGTAGCACTGCCAACCCCAAAGGTGATGAATCTCTTTGTCCTTCCCTCCTGAAAGTTAGTTCACTAGATAGGAGTCCTAACTGCCCTTGACTTATTACTTCGCACCACCTTCTACTTCCATTGCTTTGTAAGATAATGATGGCAACACTACTATTGAGTGGCCTCAAATGATGAATGATGATGACCAGCAGGCATCAACGTGACAATTTTATCTCTGCCGGTAGTAAGATTGTCGATTTTGACTGCCGATCAGTCAATTTTCCTCTACTAGAGAAACTACTCATGATATCGAAGTCTGTAAAGAAGCTACCGCTTCAGTTGTCATCGGCTTCTTTTTTGGTCACAGCTTTCAGTCCAGCCATGGTCACTGAAAACTCGACAGCGCCATCCAGACCCTGCCCCGTAGCTCTCGAGTGAGGAGCGAAGACCACTTTCATCCATCGTCGCCAGTTCTTGAGCGCTGGCATGCCCCGATCATCGGCTTCATCTTCTATGTGCCGATGCACTCCATACACGGGCTTCTTGAAAAGCGCGATGCGGCACGCAATCTGTGTTGACCACACAAGACCTAGACTGGGCGTCTTGAGCCCATAGTCTGCAAACGGATCGTCGCCCCATCCCGTGAACCATCGTTGCTGGTGGTCAAATGCGAGCGCGGGAGGCGCAGGCGGGCCGAAGTCATCCAGGCCGGGAGGTTCAGGCATACTAGAACGAACATGTTCAGCTATGGACGATGTCGGTTCGACCGCCGACGGTGAGAAAGCTCTCAGCCCTCTGCTCCGCGATGCCAGTGGACTTTCCTGAGTGAAACTCGGAGCAGCGGCCGTGGGCGCCGCTCTAGGGGTCGCCACGGGCGCAAAAGGACTGGAGAAGCGATCCGCGACTTGGTTGGCGACAACAACAGCCAAGTTGTATGTTTGGGCCAGCTCTCTAAGCAAGGCTCCAAGTCGCGTGAGTTCGTTGCTTCGGGCTCCCATATTTGACCCATGATTACCAAGAGCCCCTCGCTCAAATTCGGCTCGATAGTTAGAGGCGACAGAGTCCAAGACGATGAGTCCAGTATTCCGCCTCTCAACTTCTACGGGGACTTGAAATTGGAGAATGTGCTCCTGTGACTCAAGGTCAGGTGTCGAAGTACTGAGGATACCGTCTAGAGACGGCTTGTCTTCCGGTGAGAGGTCTGCGAACCGCGGATTGGATGACAGTATTTGCGATAGACGCTTGGTGGACAACTGAGCCTCCGTTGTGATGTATATGGCCGGGCGCCCTAAGCCATACGGCGGCGGCAATTGAACGGCCAGCAATAAGGATAGCAGAAATTGCGTTTTTCCAGCGCCGCTTTCGCCCGTGATCTCGGTCACATAGCCGGCTGGGATTCCTCCCCCCAAAGCTCGGTCAAGAGAGTCGTCTAGAGTGCTAATGGTAGACCATTGATTCTCAAGATCCGTCAGAGAGCGCTTGAGAAACCGGCTAGCCTTTGGCGGCTCGTTGGCAGAGCCAAAGTCGCGATGGAGGGCATCGACGACGGCAGCGCAAAGTCTTTTGATGTCAAGCAAAGGCAGTTGAGTGCGCTTGCCTATGTCAACGACATCCTGAGTTAGTAAATCTGTGACGGAAAGCTGATGGCGTTCCAGAGCCTGCAACAGTCCAGCAAACTGCCTAACAGGGAAGTCAGGTATCAGTTGGAGCAGGTCGGACATGGCATGTGAAGAGAGTCCGGCGGCATGGATTGTCGAATAGCCTCTATATTCTCTTTGAAGTCTCCTGTCTCCGATGTGTTCTGAAGAGTTGATGTCTTGCGATGGTAAGGCCTGGTGAGTGAGATGTGAACAAGAATCGTCACAGGAGCTTGAGAGCCATTATGAGGTGTTCGGCCAGTGAAATGTTTGATAAGATCTGATCGCCAAGGCCGCGTCGCTGCTTCTTGTCGTAGCGTGTCAGTTACACGGAATGGGAAGTTATGGCCAGGATTGATCTTGCAAACGAGCGCGTATTCACCTACATGTATGGAAGGTATTGATGCACGCCATCATCACAAAGACAGAGCCAATGGAGAGAGGTTGATGATTCCCTCGGCTAGGTACGTACCTGATGGTGGTCATTTTTGATTATGTCATCACGCCCACTGGTTGAGATCTGCTGGCACTGGCATAGAGTCAAAATCGCCAAATGACTTAAGCAGTTAAAGCAACCAATCCCTTTTTGCGACATGCATGCTTTTTAAACTTTCACTATTATCTTATAACTGATCCCAATTTCATTATTTTGAGTGTATGGGGAGGCGGGCTGTGTCCGCTCTCACGCCCGCGAAGTGTTCGAGTTTAACGTCCACCGCGGGGCTGACAGCACCTTTACTTAGTCATGCTTGGGCATTGACATAGACTTCTTATATATCTGCCGTTGTCGATAGCCTGTCAGCACGCAAGTAGAAGACGGGTCTGATATAATGCGTCTCTGGATGGCCCGACTCGGGTGCTGGGTCGGTCATTATTTCAATGACATCGCTTGGGACTCAAGTCCGTTCCCAGGTATCATCATCATGCTCACGCAGGACAACGATGACAGAGACGCCAGCTACCGAAGCAAAAACGACGCTTGAAGGCCGAAGTCTAAGGGTATAACCCGTGGAGGAAGATGGGTAGTGCTCACAAAAAGAGGGAGAAGGGTGTCAGACCTCGAAGTATGGATGAAGAAGCGGGATTGCTTGCATGGTGGAATTAGTTTGCACATGGGAAAAGGACTCAAGCGGTAAAAGTTCTTGCAATCCAAAATGTTGAACACAGCAGGTAGGCTATCCCATCTCTAAGATCCCGGCATATCTAGCTTGAGAGCGACGGAAGCATGTTCATTGGGGACGGCGGGCAGATTTTCAAGCCCAACTTGAAGTTAGACCATCTCTTCATCCTTGGCTTTCTCTCCCACAAACGTCTTTGGTACTTGATTACCGGTAGCTTTAACAAAGCGTTGCTTAATTATATAGTTGTGATGATTTGAGATCCTGTCTCAGGCTGGGTTCATTGGTGCCAGCACAGTCACCAGCATGTCACTATTCTGCCGTAGTAGCTAATCAGTATCGAGATTGAGAGGTATAGGCCCTCTCACATATAACACCGACTCCCAGAGACTGATAAATGGTTGCTTTCCATTCAGTATAATGAATTAATTCATGTGAATGATCCATGTTTTTTGTGCCAAAGAAACGGCACCACAAATTTGGCAATACTGTAGGCAAGACGCCTGGGCAACCCAGACAACTCTGACAATGGCGAATCATAGCATGCCCAGCCAACAAGCCTCGTAGGTATGCAACTAAGGCTGGTATACTAGTCAATAAGAAAGATCTTCATCGCCTCATCGCCAACTCTGACTACGCCTGGTGCCTCGTTCTCGGTTCGATTCGAGGCCCTAGACTTGGAGGGATCCATCGGTGGGCTACCTTATGTCAGTGCAGAGAGACAATCGACCCGACGGATACAATGGAACCTTAACAGTGGAGTACAGAGATTAGAGGGGCGAGGTTTGAAAGCGGTTAGAGGAAGAGCTATCTTCCAATCGCAAAGCATCCTTGCCCTCCAGCGAGCCACTGAGGGACGTCAAGCAATAGCGCACTATCTAAGCGGAAGTTGTCTTCCAATCAAGCGCCTGCCTGCCTTCCTACCTACCCAGAAAGGGGGACGCATGGCAGAGGTACCTTCTACTGATGTTTTGGAATGGGATATCTGCCAATTTTGCTCTGTTGGCTACATGGACTTTGCTGCAGCAATCTATATGGTCAATACGTATGCAAATAGGACCGGTTTCCTTTTCTCTTTGACGCGAATTATTGATGGCGAATTTCCTCTGACTCTCGTCAATCCCAACTGAAGAAGGCTATTCATCTGCCATATCAGGCCAAGATTTAAGACGGAGGGGCGCACCTGCCGTCAAATTAATATCAACACCGTAGTATGTAAGGTGGGTGAAAGGTGGGTAGTAGGTGGCCCGCGACTCAATGACAAAGTCTACATTCAGCAAAAGGAACGGCCTCTGCCCTGCGCATCTTCATCTTCTCCCCTCTCCCACAGACTCCATCGACGACGATGACATGGACTTCACCCTACTTATATTCGACTTCATTCTTCTACTTCTACTTCTACAACACATCCTGCACTCGTAACTTTGGCTTTCAGTTCGAAAATCACACCATCAAGCTAAAGCTGTTGATCGGAATCTAGTCGACAGGGAAGTAAGCGCTGAACTCCTCAAGCTATCGTTAAAGATCAACATGATCACATCAATATGATGTGAATGGCCTCAAATAACAGACCCCTCGACGCCCAAGCTTTCCACAGCCTCAACGGGCCTCGAGCGCAGAAAAGTTCTGACGTTGACGAATGCCGATCTCACTGTCGATCACGACACAGTGGAGGCAATTTTTGGGACTCTTGTCGCGCGCGCGGCTACTAGTGACGTTGTCTTTGACTGGTTTTCTCCAATCAACCCGAGGTTTCGAGCATTAAGGCACGGCGGAGTCGTCAACGTGGAGTTCGCAACTAGGCCTGTTTGCGCCGTGGCACTCGAAGTACTACCGCCCGGGTTTGAACTTTTGGTCGAATAGTCACTGTGGAGAGATTGAAAAAAATACGTCCATCAAATGTAAGTGTACATCGATCCCGTTGTCTCTTCTCCATACTACCTTGATCAATACACAGCGTCAGCTACGGAGTCGAGCTGCCGCTACCGCCAACCCTACTTTCACCGCCGTTGTCAACCTCACTCTTGCCGTTGTCGTTATCCCTACTCTTGCCCCGGTCGTCAAACCTAGTCGCGACGGATGCTACACTCACTGTTACCCATACTCGTGGCGTACGAGGTTGACAAGACCCCAGCACGCTAGGAGAAGGAGGAGGGCGCACTGCTTGCCGAGAGTGTCAACCATACTTATGAGGTACTTGACCCTGAGATGCCTGTGCCTCAGTAAGACGACTGAGCAACAGCAGTATGACTCTGAAAATATTCTCATCTACATTCTACCCGAGCTTATAACCTGCTTTATCTCCCTCCCTCAAGGTGTTACCCCTTCTTCACCTCCAACCTCCCCATGGGTAACCACCTTCTTCCCTCTTTCCATAGTAAGCTATGTAAATCTTCCATGATGAAGATCTCCATCTTACAATGGGGCCACTTCCTTAGACTTCGGTCTCAAAGGTCGCTTTGGCAGCTCTGCGGAGTGTGGGTTCGATTCCCACAGCGATCACCAAAGAAGCAGCAGGACACCTGCATAACCACCAGGTAGATTTCTGACACTATTTTATAGTATTGCCTCAAGACCACTACTTAGTAAGGAATCGAATTCAGGCGGGGAGGTGTCTTTGCCCTCGATGCTTGGGCGGCGATGTGCTAGATGGCAGCAGCTGAGAGCTTGTTTTGCGATTCAACCTGGCCGCCGAAAAGGGCTTATCAATTCACAACGTGAGACCCTTTACGATGAAGTAATGATGGCAGTTGTCATTGCAGAGGAAAGGCATATATGTCGGCGCCATGGGTGTATGTTCCCAACGTCAACGAGCTTTAAGCAATGTGTTGATAAGAGCTTTGCAGGAGGCCAGCAGAGGGTTCACGCCTCCTCTTTCGTTGCACCTCTTGTAGACTTTCCCGAAGCATCTCTCTAACAGTATTCTGTGCCTCTCAACGGGTTGCCTAGCCATGGTGCCATTTTAGCCACTAAAATCCCGGCCAACCTGTCCAAATTCTCGGTAGACATCCTCGATTGGCAAGACTTGTTGTTTTGATCGTTCTTCACACGTTCTTTCGCACGCCCGCTTTGGGAACAGATGGCAGACGGAGCATATATCTTGTAGCACCGATGGTGTTCAGGCGGGAGCCGCTAGCTATCCGCTTTCGCAATTTGAACAAACAATCACAAGGCAACGAAAAAGACCAGAGAGTCGCATATTAGCTACTGATTCCGAAATCAATTGAGCTATGGGGCCGTTTTCCCATCTAAACCTGACCTAGGGAAATAAGCACAGGCCCGAGGCTGAAGCCTGCTTTCAGGCGGTGGTCTTGTCTAATTAGCAAATGCGAGAGAGGACTAGTGCAGCATACCTTCGTCGAAAGCTAGTCCGCGATGGCCTAAGGGCGCCAGACTCACACGCCGGATAGTCCTCGATCAACACGCTAACAACGGGAAACCTGACTTCCAACGGCAAGGTATGATGCTTATGGCACTCTCGGTTCCAGCGAGGAAGGATCCGATCTTCACCTTCGGCGTCCTCTTGGGAGGGAACAAGACCCCACTGGCCCATTTATCAGGGTTCGTCATATGCTCTTCGAGAAGACCCTAGATCTAGGCAACAGTATTGCCATAGCTTCCAGACTTGCACGACAGCCGCCAAACCCTCATCCGAGTCTTATCAATTCGGCGGCGCTTGCAGCAAGTCTTTTGTGCTACATTTTGGCTACACTCTGTGGTGAAGTATCTTCCCAAGGACCGAATAATCTGCTATTTCTGGGACGTCTTATCCTCCCTGCGCAACAACACTTTGTCCCAGCTTCTATTCTTCTGCTATGTCTTTGTCTCCACCCCCGCCATTCTCTTCCTGCTCACCCTTGGTGCAGCAGCCCCGGTGGCTTTTGTTCCTCTCTTTCCGTCCACGCTAAAAGCACTCTTGTTATTCAGCTTTGGCAAGCCACAATGATCTATCTCTTCTGCAATTGGTCTGGTTAGACCCCAGATGCCTGACTAGCCCATCCTCCCAGAAAACTAAGCTCTCTAGCTAGTCTAGGGCTGAGCAATTCGCGGATCTGCTGTTGAAGTCAATCCGAGCATGAACCGGTCCCGGGCGGTGCTTACACCTCATGGCTCACTATCAAGACAACTCGTACCTTGGGTCAGTGCCCCGAGAGCGCCCTTTGTGGAACAACAACGATGGAAACAGATACGGGAATACAAAGAGGGCTAGGTTTATAACCAAGACATTTAGCCCATCCGCTCCACGAGCGGTGTTCCCCTTCTCTTCTGTCTTGTTTGGTCTCCCTCGAGTCAACTTGACGCACAATACTGTAGATCGAGTCCTCGCCAGTCTCATTAAACCTGTTCAAAGTTCAATCAACATGGTGAACAAATCCAAGTCCCTCGCTGGTTTGGCGGCTCTCTCAAGCCTTGCCAATGCCAAGATCTACGAACTCCCCCAGGCTACCACTTCATTCAACTTTCCTCTCGACCAATTCAGCCCTCAGCCGACCAAGGCCCCCGCTTACGCTGACTTGAGGAAAAGGCAATCATCAGCAACAACCACAGTCCTCGTTGCGCCAGATAACACTTGTGGCTACATCTCTGGGCGTGCCGGCGCGGCATACACATGCGGGACCGCCGCCAGCTGCATCTTCTTCACATCGGTGAACAGAAATACCCCCGGCCGAGTTGCCTGTTGTGACGCCAGTGATTGTGGTGCCCGGCGAACATGCTACGATTCTAAACAGGTCTCGTCGTCTAGTCTCTGTGATGGTGGCTGTCTTGTTGATCGCTTCACCTTGAAATGGTATGTATGATCTCGAATATTGTTCTTTCTCCAGACGTGATGAGTACTCTAAAAGACTGATATCGTGTTCAGTACCAACACTGCTCGACCATACTGCAACACCATCTCCTTCGCAGACGGTATCTTTGACTACTGGTGTAATACGGCAGATATCTCGACCCCGCAAGCCGCGACGACCACTTACGCCGGCGGACCGGCGCGCAACTGGACACCGCTCGCCCTGACAGACGACACCACATCCAGCAGTGTCATCCGGCCAGCCAGCTCCGGAGTCATCACAGGCACCGCCAGTGGTTCCGTGTCCGCGCCCTCTATAACTACCTCTCCTGACAACGACAATAATGGCGGGATCAACAACAATAACAACAGCAAGTCCTCGACCCCCGTCGGTGCCATCGTCGGAGGCGTCATCGGCGGCATCGCCGTCATCGCACTCATCGGCTTTGGAATCTTCTTTATTCTCCGCAAAAAGAAGAAGACGCAGCAGCAACCCGGACCCGGTTCGCACGGCCAACCTCCCATGATGAACCAGCAGCAACAGCATCAGCCACCACCAATGGGCTACGCTCCGGCGCCCCAAGGCTCGCCGGCACCGTACGCCGCCCAAACACAAACGCACTCCTTCTACGAGCCAAAGTACGATGGCCAGGGCGGATATCCGCAGCAACACTACGGCAGCACGCCCCCTCCCCCTCCTCAACAGGGCGGCGGCTACCAGCAACCCTACTACAGCGGTAACATGGCGGTCCCCGATCGCGCGGACACGACGAGCCCCAGTGCCATGTCTCAGGGAACGCACAGTAATCGCCTCAGCACGCGGCCCGTCAGCCCGAATCACCCACAAGGCGGCTTCCCGCAGTTTGGCGGTGGTGGGCAGCCACAGCCGACAATTCACGAGGCGCCTGCGAGTGGCGATGGGCACAAGGGGCAGATGCACGAGCTTGCCTAGTTGCGTTTGTGAGGCGGTGGAAGCTATTGTCAATCTTGATCGTCGTTGTTACGACATGAGGCTTTTGTGTTTCTGTGTATAAATTTGTGCATCTTATTTGGGAAAGTTTATTCGTCGTGGAAGCGGTGAGTTGATTAGCTACACAGACTGTAGCGACCACCCGACCGCCCGTCCAGGGTGAACTTGGTGTATTGGGGTTGTACCAGACTCGGGCTTTATGATTTATATCCTAATGAAGGTTGCTATCTTGCAAAGAGATGTGTATGAGCCTCTTGGTTTTGACGGGGACTGACGGGCCTTTGAGAGGTTGATTCGCCCTTCGTCTTTAATGATATCTGAGCATGGTTCTGAGATCAATCGAGAAAAACTGATCCTTTGACACTTCCGGATTGGAGTAACGTTACAGAGTGAATCAAAAAGTTCCAACACGTGTAAAGATCGTACTCGACACGCAGCAGGCACAGCAGTTTCGTGCAACGTTTATAGACTAGGATGCCAAGGAGGGCATTAAGTGTCAACAACAAAACAGAACTCCGGTCAACGAATAAGTATTACTTTACTAACAAAGACTACCTCCATTATTACCCCTACTCTCGTCCTTATGTCAACCGCCTATATTACCATCGCTTTCCCCTTCCTTATGACAACTACCTCTGTTGCTACCTCTGCACTACGTCTCCTTAAGGTATATTCTGTAGGGGATACATGCTGGATGAACAAGATTACTCCTCGAAAGTAAACTGGATCCAGACTCACAAGAAAATGTCTTCCTTTGAGCAAACGCAAATACATCACAGGCATGTTCCCCAGAGGCGGTATCCGCGCCTTTGCAAGGTGATCAACCCAAGACTGGCTCGCTGATCTATAATGCCTCGAGTACAGCCGGCTGCTAAAGAAGGCAGATGGACGGTGTAGAAGTAGCGAAATGTCACGAGGTCACTCGATTGCGTGAGAAATAGTCTTGGGACTTGGAAACACAATCTAAGTAGATTTCTTCCCTCCTTCGCGCGCTGTGTATCCAAAGGGGTAAACTTCTTCCTCGATACCCTATTTACACGCTTCAATATACGAGCATCGAGCTTCGTACTGGCCAAAAAGACCTTGCTCTGCTGACGTGTATACCAACACAGATCAGCTCACACACGCAGCAAACACCACAGCATTTCTCCGTGATGCGGCGCAGTCACGGTCCCACGATGCTTCTACCCGTCCATCCAGGCAACGCTAATAGTCAATCAGCCGCAGCTTCTTCCCAATCTCCCTCCGGCGCGCCTGTACTGCCGCACGCTCAGAGGGTTTCGTCTCTCCGGGGTCCATGTTCTCTCCGCGAGCCTTGAGTGCTTGGAGAAGCATGCCTGCGTCAAAAAAGCCGTCTATACACATGTGGTGTCAGCAAAAGCTATTTGAAATGGAATTTGAACGAAATCAAAGAGCAACTTACATCCTCCAAGCTCATCATCCTCACTAAGCGTAACACTCTCCTCCGTAGGCGACTGCGTGCCCGTCGAAGACCTCGCGACAGAGGTCTTGATGGCGTCGTGCGCGGTAATAAGCCGGCCGCGCGACTTGATCCCCTTCGGCGGCTTCGGCCTCGCCTGGAGATCGAGCTCGCGCGCGCGCGTCTGCTTGGCGGCGCCCATGCCCGCACCGCCGGTGCCGCGGCGGGACGTGATGCGGAGGATCCGTCGCACCTCGAGGAGGTAGCTCTCAAGCGTATCGACGAAGCGTTTTGTCTGGCGGTGCTTACTCGACACGCAGATGGAGATGCTCTCGTCCTTGATGATGTAGCCAATGCCGAAGCCGTCACCCGACGTGGGGCCGAAGCCGAACTGGCGCAGGGAGGGGTTGCCGCAATTTGATGTCGACATGATTGTGTTGTTAAGCTTGTCCCAGCCCGAGTCGGCGAAGATTTGTGGCATCGAGGCCTGGTTGTTGCCGTTGCGCGAGTTGGTGCTGTCGCCGCGGGCGCGGCCAGTAGAAGAGGACTGCAGCTCGGCGCCGTTGAGGGAGAGCACCGAATCCCGGCCGGGGCTCCCGACGGCGGACTCGCTGACGTCCTGCTCCGAGAGGGCGTCGATGGGGCTCGAGTAGCCGTTGGAGCTGCCGGAGACCTCATCGTCCATGGAGCGCTGCCAGGTGCAGAAGAGGGCGTAGAGGTGGCGGTCGCAGCCCTCTGCCTTGGCGCACTCGCGCGTGCTGTTGACGTGTCGCTGGCACGCCTTCCTCAGGGCCTCGACCTTGTGCTCGGCTGGGTTGTCAGCCCAAAACGTCTGGACAAAATTGACTGACTCGTCCGAGACGCTGCGGATGGCCTCGGTGCGGCCATGGAGGAAGATCTTGGTCATGGCGGGTTCGTAGGTACACTCGACACGGCCGTAGAGCCCGTAGTAGGCGGCCTGGAAGGCCATCTGCACAAAGGCGTCGGGGGAGAAGCCCATCGAGGTCATGAAATTCTTGCCGTAGTGCTTAAAGTCGAGCGTCTTGAACTCATTTTGCTCAATGAGGTCGGCGAGACGGGTCTCTGCAAAACGAACGGCGACGCTGAGCTCCGGGTTCATGTCCCACTCGAGCTTGTGCGGCGTTGTGTTGACCTCGCCGAAGCTGTCCGGATCGCGCTTCGCCGGGTCCGGGCTGGTGGAGGCCCAGAGGGTCGGTGCTTGGCCGTTGATGGTCCGGGCGAAGCGGAGGATGGTGTCCGTGTACACATCGCTGGCGAATCGCAGCACCGTGTGACCGTCGACACCTGTGTGCTCAAAGTTGATTCCGGCGCTACCGTTCTTGCATACAATAATTTGCAGCTTGTCGTACCATCTGTTGGTACAGGTTCCGATTTGCACACCCTTCTCGACCAAGCTGGTGCCGCATAGCATATTACCACAAAGAGCGTCAGCGTCAACCGGCTCGGTGTAGTCGAGACACAGAACGAAAAGGGCCGAATCGACAATGCCCAAGCAGTCGGCGTTGTTTGAACCTTCTTCCCGTGTCAGGACATCTCTCAGTCCTGACCAGATCTTCCGGTTTTCCGTGCTGAGAACGCCAAGGGCCCCCTTGGCCGCATCCTGAATCGGCGTTTGGGCAGCATCGTCGATGATGGTCTGCAGGTTGATGGACACATCTTTCTCGCTCATGATGAGATCATTGTTGTCGTCCAAAACGTCGAACCAGTAGAATTGGCCGTGGCACATGACAATGATGTGCTTTGACTCTGGGTCCTGCTCGATCTGGCATCCATTTTCCGTGGGTACACGTGCTGTTCCGAAGAGCCTAGAGTATTGGTACATGCAAAGAGGCTGGCCTTTAACCGTGTCTGGAGGCAACTCTTCCTTGCGAACTGCTCTCACGAACTCCAGGGCCGACACCACGAGCGATGCCGCTCGGGTCACTTGGTTGTTTCTTGCAGGAGTGGGATCATCTTCCAGCAGGAAAAACGGGTTGAGATTAAGGACAACCGGGTTATCAAAGTTTAGGTATGAATCATACCCTTATAAGTGGGTTGTCAGTCAAGATTGAGCCAACGGGTGCAGATGGGCTTACAAAATTGTTCAATATAACTCGTCTTGTCCTGTGCGTACGTCTTCAGCTTTTCCTGCAAAGCCGGGCCATCGTGCTTCAGGAAGTCCTGTAGCGCCTGCTTGGTCTCCGAATGTTCTCGCGCAGACTGTAACGGCTTGAGGGCAGTGAGATACTTTTGCGCGGTAGCTTCCAATTCGGGGATAGGCAAATGCTTGAGCTTTTCCTGGGCAGCGAATGTGACACCGCCCTCGACGGACTTGTCTGTGTATACTGCCATAGAGCGAGTGGCTTCTGTACTCTGCTTCGGTTTTGACGGTTCGACTTGTTTCCAAAGATCTGAGGTGTCTGGGATGGAACGTGGAACCGAGGAAGGAGGAATGGCCTTTTCGAGAGTCTCACCGAGTGGCCTAGGTCGCGAAAAGATTCTGACTTGAGTGGGCATGGTTGTTAGCGGAAGGTAGGTCCTTTCTTTATGCGTAGAGAGGCGAGACGTTGGTGCTGATGTTCAATCCGCGCAGCGCCGTGCGGTAGAAGTAGTGGCAGTCTTGGAAGCAAAAAGGTGGCATTACACCAGACAATGCTACAACATCTGGACGACTGAGAATAGTGTAATAGATAGGGAGGGAGGGAAGAGAGAAAAGAGGAGACAGCTCGGCTACAGGAAGGGGAATGGACTAGGGATATATCGACGGGCCTAAGGAAGTTCGGAAGAGAGAGGGAGAGGCTGACAAAGTGAAGTCAGGGTGGTAGGCACTAGCATACTGAGAAAGAGGCACATCTGTAAGGCGGATGAGATAGGTACGAAGTACAGACGAGATGGGATCGAGTGGAACCCCCCACAAAGACGACTAGGATGGGGCTGGCATGCAGATACCAGTTCACTCTGGGGTCCCGGGGTCTCATCTCGAGGGAACAGGACGTCCTTTCACATGTGGAACAGAGGTCTTGAGGCATCGTACCGCAAGGCCGGAAGCAAGCGCTTGATTGGGCTGGCGGAAGACAGGAAACGGGGAGGGGACTGGCACTTCGGGAAATCCGCGCTGGCTGGGTCAGGCCCTGGGAGGCAGAGGGGAGCTTGGCTTGTGAAACTCGCTCCGCAGGCCCGATGCGAAATGATAATATGGGTGCGGCCAGTTTCGTAATCTGCCGAGACTTTATGGATAAAAGACAAAGCAAGACAGGGGAAAGAAAAGCAATGTCACCTACCGGCGCAGTCGAACCAGCTGTTTGCGGCCGCTGGTGATCTTTTTAGATGAAGATGTTGAACGTAGTTGGAGTAGAGAAGGATTTGTGGGCGAGATTGACGATTTGTCAAGTTGAAGTTGACTTCTGTACAATAGCTTAGTTAGAGATGGCTGGCTCTTTGGCCAAGACATGCTGCCTGGTCGTCCTCGGTGAAGGCATCCGTCAGATGGACCTGTCTAGCACGAGGACAAGCAGAGACACAGAGGCACAGGTCGGTATGGGCACCTGTCACTCACCTCGTTACACTTCAAACAATCGGATTGTCAATAGTATCCACAGGCTACTACTGTAAGGGGCTGGGTTGACCACGAGAAGTGAAGAGGAGTCAAGGCAGGATGACGGGGATGCAGGAAATAGAATTCGAGGACTAGTTCCGGGATGCGACTCGACGTTACTGGGAGTGAGCGGGTTGTCGGCTACGATGAAGGCGGCGGCGCGGAAGGAGGGAAAGAAGAGAGTGTGAGCGTGCGCGTGTGCGGGTGCGTAAGAGGATGACCGGGTGAGTGAGAGAGAGAGTGAGTGAGTGATGAGTGAGTTAGTGAAGGGTGTGTGATGCAATGAAGGCGATGGGCGCTTCTGGAAATCCGACGTCAGGCCCCACAGGCAGGTGCAGGCGCAGGTCGCAGATGATTTGCCTTGTAATACTCTTGGAGTCTTGGTATCCGTAGACTTGGGGTTGGGGAAAAGTGCTTGGCTGAGCCGGTTCAGGCTGCGAACCCCACGGGGTCGTGGACGTGGCGTTGGTGATTGTGAGTGAGCCTTTCGGGCGAAGGGGAATACCGCAACAACGTGGCAATGGACGGCTCTGGTTGGACGGACGAATCAAGCACCGGTTTGTCATGCGCTTAATGCGACCTTGGTGTATGTATGTACTCCGTACAGGAAGACCAGGCCAGCCCACAAGGGTTGGGAGTGTGTGTGGGTTGTGAGTTGCGACACACCTCCAATGCGCTTGGCGGCTGACTGATTCGGTGCGAAGGTTGTGCTGGCGCGGGTTTTGCTCGTGAAAGACGCCGGGGAGACACGGAGGCTAGGGTAGATGAAGAAGTTGGATGGGTGGATGGATGAGTGGGTTGTCGAAGACTGATAACCCAGCCGCTTTGGAGTAGACTTCTTCAACAAACCCGAGCAGCTGTATAAATGCCGGTATTCAGGTTGATCATCGACGTTGCGCCGGTTCAAGGTTGAGAAGCACGAGAGATAGCCTCAGTCGCATTCCACGAGTGGAGGTCGAAGAGAAGAACTGGAGCCGAAGAGGGTGAGAGAAAAGAGGGGAAGCCGGGAATTGTGGGTAACAAATCGTCCACTTCAGTTCCCCCCGCGGGATGACCTAGAGTTATTAATTGGAGAAAGCGCCAGGGTCCAGCGAGGAAGATGTACGAATACTCCGTACCAAGGTACTTGCTTCGTCTCCTCCTCCTTCCCTTGGGCGACGACAATAAGATGCAGGAATGGCCACAGAGGTAGAAAGACTGGATGGAGCCTGTATTCGTACCTTGCTGCGTCTGAAACCTGTAACCTTGCTGGATCGTGGATGCGGGTTGAGTCCAGTTACTGTGTACTAACTGACATGTGCCCAGTTGCGAGCCAAGCAACTATAGCGGCGATCAGGACCAGCGGAAAGTCTGTCAGGCTCGGGACCTTGGGGGTCGCTTTGCGGCGGTTGGGGTCCGGTTGGTTTGTTTGGCGTGCGGGGGTTTTCTTTTCGTCTTGTTTTCTTCCGTCGCCGAGTTGCCAGTCCTTTTGGGTAGTGGCCCGCTGCTTGAGAGTCGGGAAGCAACAAGAAGCAAATCTGGTCTTCCAGTGGTCGTTCGTAAAGCCGAGAATAGATTTTGGCGCTTCTTCAAGAGTCCGGGTTGAGTTGGGCAAGTTCAATGATGATGCTCGACTTTGGTTCATGCTATATCTGCTCCGGGAACGAGGAACAACCCCTCACGGTCATGTTGGAGAATAGTCGCTCAGGTGACACTAGCAATGACGATGCTGCTTGTCACTGAAGCACGGCTAGTCGCTGGTCTGTCTACTAGATATGACCTCCGAGTTGATGCCGGCAGACTCCATTTAAATCATCATCCTGTTTAACGGCATCAGTGATTGACGCGTTGCCAGGCTCATGTTTGTCCAGTGCGCAGCTTCCAGCACCCCTCTCCTTCACGAAACTCTTCCACCTTCCCGAGGACACCTATCAATTAGTTAGACACAACTCGTCAAAAGTCCAAGATGCATCGGACGAAGAAAATAGAGCAGCCTGGCGTCGGTCGGGGAAACGCAAGTGGCTAACAAATCAACGGCCTGGACCGAACCACCCGAACGCCGCCGGCCGACCCAACCCAGCCAAAGAATGGAACCAAACCAGTCCACTTTGTGGTTGACCTCTGGATTGCCGATGGTAAATCAAATCTCCTCCCCTCGCCTGTCTGCTGTTCGGATCAAAGGACGTTGAAAGACGTGGGACGCTGGCGGGGGTGCTTGGGTTTCCCAAATTGGACCAGCACCCATCTGGCAGGACCGCAGGACCGCAAGCAGCCGCCCCACTGTGAGGTAAGTACCAAGGTACCTTGGTGATCGCTCCACAGTGGGTGACAAAATAGGAAGTCAACAAGATTATAACGCCTACTTACCTGCTTATTATGCCTAATGTTCTTGTTCTTGTTCTCGTTCTTTTTATTCTTTTTATTATTTCTGCTATTAGTCTTGACTTTTGTATATTCAGTAGAGAATATTCTTCAAAGGATGAGTAGGAAGAGGGATAGAAGAGGCAGAAATAATAGGCAACGAGCTAGGGAGGGTACCGATAGAGCGGCAAGCGATTTTGTCGCCCACTTGCCGCCTGTCCGGGTCACCTGCAGCTTGCGCCCGAAGTGCCCTGGGGAACCTGCCGCCGCCGCCAGCTGACACGCAAAGGAACATCATTTGCCTCTCGTCTGGTTGGTCCGGTCAACCTGCCCTTCCATGATGAAGACAGGACCTTATCGAGAAAACTCCGGGGCTGCGGAACCCTTCGCCTGTGGGGGGAGCTGCCATGGGGTCGGGTGCTGGTGACACAGCATCCGGTGCTTCTTTTTCCCCGCCATCTGCATCTGGCATTCAGCTCTGCGCCAAGTTGCCTGATGTCTGATGACAGCTCTCATCCACATCCACTTTCGTACCTACTGTGAAGCCGAATGACTGGGATCTTTGGTATGTATTTGGAATATGATGCCGACGTCTCTAATTCTGCAATATGAAACAACGCAGATAGACAACGCGGTGCTGTTGTCGCCTCAATTGTAGGGCCAACCTACGATTGCTCGTTTGGCCACATGCTGGGCGACTTTCGGCGGTCTCTCTGTATATGCGTTTCACGACACCGAGTTGCCGGCCTTTCGGCTCCGGAACAGAACCGGCCCCACTTCAACTTACATGACATGACGGTTCGGGACTTCGGCAACGACGCAACGAGTAAGTCTCTCACTCAAGGAATAGGATCCATTTCTCATTTTGATTGCCGATCCTCCCTATATTTGTACCGCTCTTGCTTCTTATAAGCACAATCTCATTTGCTATGTAATTTCCATTCCCCAGCTTGCACCCGGAACAGCACCGATGAATGAGAGACAAGCAATGAGGTTGGTCTCCTTCGAATGCCCTCTATTATCAGGCGGTGTCACGTTTCTCGATGTATTTGTGGCTCGCAAATTTCGATTTTACTCACAAATGCCGTCTACGTGATACAGTCTCTCAACTCATAGCAAATATCCAAGTCTATTCAGCAGTCATCAATCAGGCGCCTCTGTCAGATTGGAAATCATACACGAGGTAGATTATTATGTCAACTATATCTAAGTGTTGGAATCCTAAATACTGAACTGAAAACCAGCCTCCATTTCCACCGCATATTCCCGATACTACGGTGTCTCTCCCATATGTACCATAAGCATATACAAAACCCCAAGTCCGTCATGAGGCTCAATTCGTAACCCACGCTCTGCCTGAATCTCATATTAAGGGAGCGCATAACAGGCTACCGGAGACTCAAAAGTATCTCGCTCACGGTCAGCGCAGACTCCCGAGGACAGAGCAACTATCACACCACCGCCACCACCCCAGCTGTATCGGTTTGGTATTACCCAAAATTTAGTAGTTGTTAGGGCAGCGAATCATCTGGTTGGAAGCGGTAGGACGGCCACCGCATCCGTGGTAGGCCATGGAGTAGCACAGTCCGTGGGCGCTGGCACCGCCGGCGTCCTTGTCGGTGTGGACGGCGTGGACCTCGTAAGGGGTGACGGTGGGGGCCTGGCAGGCTCTCTTGGAGTTGGCATCGATGTACTGGGTCTGTTTTTTTGGTTCTTTTGTCAGAAACAGCTCTCTCTCTCTCTCTCTCTCTCTCTCGCTATAGATACCAAAGGGAATTTTACTTACGACGATGACGCCCTTGTCGACGCTGAAGTGAGGTCTCTCCCAGAGGAAGCAGACGTTGAAGGCGCCGCAGGTGCCAGAGTAGCTGATACCGGTGGTGACACTGTTGGAAGTGTGTTAGTAACAGGTTCAGAATCTAGGGGAGATTTGTGGGTGCAACTGACCTGTCGGGAGATTTGCTGATGCTGAGGCCAAAAGTGCTCAGGAAGGTAGAGACGGCCTTGGTCCAAGTGTTCTTACCGCCGAACTAGAATCCTTGGGTTAATTTCACAAGCTTTCGATATAATGGCAGAAACCCCTTGTGGGTACAAGGCCTCTCTTTCGGAGGGGAGGGGAAGAACTTACTCCGGGAATACCAATGGAGCCTCCAAGGGTGACGGCGGAGGTGTGAGTGACGGAGACAGTCTTGCTGATAGAGCCGACACCACACTGGGGGTCCGAGACGTAGTGGTAGTATCCGTAGACGTTGTTGTTGAACGACTGTCTCACACCGCGGTGAACGTAGTTGGTGCAGCTGCTGGAGCATCGCAGCCTGTCGTCGTAGAAGCACATATCGGGGAAGGCTCTCTTGCTGACATGGCTGGCGGGTACGTGGACTTCCGAGTCGGGGTTGCTGGCGAGAGAAACCATGGATGCTCTATGGTTGCAAGTGTTAGTGGGAAACAACTCCAACCATCGTATGATGCCCTATGATGAGCAGTAGAAGGGGATCACGCACTGGTAAGCCTTGACTTCCTCATCCGTGGGGATGAAGTTGCCCTTGGAGTCAAAGTACTCGGGGAGGCTCATGTAGTGCGCCTTGAACTGATCCGTGGTGAGGGCAGAGATGTTGAAGTCCTGGTAGGTCAACTGCTTGCCGTCGATCTCGACCTGCTTGTCCATCATGGGGAGTCCCTCGTAGAGGGCCGAGTCGGGCGTCCACTTGTTGTAGTCGAACGCCTCTTCGGGCTTGTAGGTCGGCAGGTCGGCCGCATCCCTCTCGAGCAGGGATGACATGCCCTCCAGGGACGAGGACGACTCCAGGCGGGAGACCACACCAGCTTGGACCTGGCCGAGGGCCATTGCCACAGAGAGTAAACGAAGCATGTTTAGAAGCTTAAACAGATTTTCTGATTAGGTGAAAAAGAAGGTGTGGCTTGGAAGGATTGAGCTTGGTCTGTGTGAGGAGACTTGGAAAGAAGAATGCGGAGAGAGCGAACCGGAGTGAGCGATGCTTGGCAGAAAAGCTTGTCGTTAAGCATGAAGCTCTGTCGTTTATTATATCTTTTTTCACGAAGCTTCAATTCCCCTCTCCATCATCGTGGACCCTCCTCACCCCCTCAACCTCCTCAACCTCCCTATCCATCCCACTTCGCCCGCACTTTCGCTCTCGGAACTTGCCTGCCGTCGAAACATGAGTCTGTACTGGAGTCCAGATAACAAAGATTAACGAATGCCCTCACATGGGTTGCTCTGACTCGGAATTGAGTTTGGATTTTCGCTGCTAGTACGCTGCGCACCTGACCGTGTTGAAATGAGAAAAAGTGAGGATCGCGCGAGCACATACCAACTTGAATGGTTGAACCAGCGGTCTATTTCCCGCAAGCATGTTTAGAGTTTCTAGAAGCTCAGACAGAAGCTCTGACAAGTTCGTATAATTACGATGTTGGTCCAAACACTGACTCGCACCGATATTAACTTATCATGCTAGCTTGAGCTTCTAGACTAGAAAGCCATCAAACTTCACCAGGGTTCTGGCACGTGTATTCCGATCTGCCCTTCTTCTTGCACCATATGGCTTTGATTCTGCTCAATGTTGCTGACCGTTGCTCGGGTTTGCTCGAGTCAGACTGTCGAAAGACTAGTTGAGTTTCAACGAGAAATAATATCAGCACGTAAAGTGCACCAATATCGAACAAAGACTAGACTAAGTCATGGAGATTATGTGAGATAATGACATTTCCCGAGATATGGTGCCTCGAAGCCGTTGCCCAATCGCTGTATCGTTATTTTCGAACCGGAGGCCGAGAATACTGAAATATATACCACAGGTCCGGATCTCGCCAAGACAACCCCCAGTGTCACACCATCACCTCTATTTCAATCACATATTCTTTTGACCTACACTCTTTAGTCAACAACTACCTTCTCTCACGAATCTCAAAAATGGTTTCCCTGTCGCTTCTCGCACCTTCCAAGGTCGCCTCTGCGCTGGTTCTCGTCCTCGGACTGGCTGACATGTGCAATGCGGCGGTCCAGTGCGACATCATCACCAGCGTGAACTGCGGCAAGGCCAAGCACCACTTGGGCCACAAGCTACCTACCAGCGTCGGCTCGACATACTACGTGGACGGCTTCCACGGTGGTGTCATGAACGCAAAGTTCCAGTCCATGGTCAACTCCGTCCCGGGGTGAGTCTCTCTCTCCATCATCTCAGGTGGAGGTGATTGGTGGTGTTTGCTTTGCTAACTAGTGAGCCAGCAACTCTGAATTTGTCGACCTGACGTACAACTTCAACCTTGGCAACTACGACAGGGCGTACTGGGTCCTTCTTCCCACGTCCTTTGGTGGTGCCAACGAGTGCTTCGCGGTCTACAAGAACTGCGATGTCACAATCAGGTTCTGGGACAAGAAGGACCCCCTTCCCAACTGGTACACCCTGGCATAGATCCAGAGGGTGGTTGGCCTAAGTCTGTTACTTTTAATCCATTGCCGTCGTCATTCATATGCGCACGAAAGAGGCGGTCGCAATGGAAGTGGGCTCGCCTGGTTTTGTCGATCTAGGTGAATTTGGGGTGGGGAGGAGGCTCACGTAGGGCTGTCAAAGCAGATGACTCATACTGCGATATAAATAATAATACCACAATGTGCATAATAAGTTGAAAGAGTCGAGTTCCCGCAGCATGAAGCAAGAGTGAAGAGACTGTGATGTTTGGCGACCCAAATGACCCAAGCCAGGAGGCCACTAGATGGAAACTGAGAAGACGTACAACAATCATGTCATTCATCCCACCGTCACGCGTACGTAATAACAATCTTCCTAATGGGCTCTGGTCTGTGGAGTTTGCTTTAAGGTATTAGCAAATAGATTCAGTTTGATCACTAATTGTCCGTTATTGAACCCCAAAGGAAGGCAGAAAAGACATATCGCAAGGCGCATCAGATACACGGCGTCCCGGCATTCTGGGAAGTGAACAAATGTAAAAAAGCTTCGTGTGCGTGTTCAGTGGGCCTCGTCTTAGTTCTCGAGGGGGTTAAGCTTATGGCGAAGCAAAAGTAATCAGACTGACCAGGCTGACCACACCGACTCCAGACGAACTGCGCGTGGCAGTGGCATGGCATTGACTTTCTGATTCGTGCCCGCCTGCTGCCCCGTGCCTCGAGCCTCGTGCTTCGTGCCCGGTGCCGTCTCTGCCGCCGCCCGCCCCCGCCGGCGACTCGCGAGAAATAGGACGAAGGTTTTGCTACACTACTTGAAACGAAAGAAGAAGTTGACATGGATGGAAACTTTCGAGGAGACTGATTACGGGGTCCACTTGGCTGATGGTTTGGGGAGTCGCTCAATCAGCCGGAAATTAGGCACGAGGTTGAAGTTGCTCCACTACCCCGATAATCAGGTCGAGGTTGGCCGTTGCCTCAAAGTGTCAGCCGGCATGGGTCCGTGTTGCACCGACCGTAGGTATCAGTCAGTTCGTCCAATCTGAGGGAAACAAGTACGGAATGCGGATCGGCGTCAAGGATACTCCGTATGACGGGCTGACACTCAGCGCAACAAGCATTTGCCAATACGGCGCCATCCGGTCGCCAAGTAATAATTATTTGATGCCATCCAATGTGGCTTTCAGAAGCAGACTCGTGGTGAATGTTTTTGATGCATCCAACGAAGGTCTCAAAGAGGATATCCATTCGACACTTGGTAAAGTTTAGAGGTCTCCGTCGTGGCATTCTCGTGCCGACTTCCGAATGACTACGATGCGAGGCGCATAAGGCCTTTGGTGCTGACAGGCGCAGTCCGTTTAGGGTGTTTCTATCCCTTTTGGGAATTCGATTCGAGCGGCACGATGGTTAGGTATCCGACCGTGCGGATAAGTTGGTTATGGTCAATCCGTACTACGTGCCTAACGAGCGGGAATGACTGAGGATGACATCCTGCAGGTGTCTCATTGTTTTTTCTTCCCTCCCATGCATCATAAATGCGACTAGTCGCGATTTGGTTGAATCCACGAGCTGAGTGTGTGTGTCGTGGGGCTTGGATGAGTGGGAAGAAGTAGAAATTCGTAAAGGTGATCCAGAAAGATCCAAAGGATCGGAACCATCTCCACAACCCTCGCACTCGCCTAATTCTTGGCTTTCCCTCTTGTGGATACGTGCATGCTGGAAACACCTTATCGATTGGCCCGGTCGCATCGATAAGGTATAGGTAGGGCTGCCTTGGCCCGCCTTGGCAAGAGCTTGTCCTCTACTCCCGGCCTGCCACTGTCTGCCATCTTCCAACGACGCCCGGCAACCGCGAATGGTCTACCTTAAGGTACCTTGGTCTTCCAAGGTTCCTGATGGTCCCTTACTCCTTAGTCTCATGCGCGGACAACGGGAACGATGAGCCACACCCCATTCCATCAGTATGATCGCAAAAGCGCCAATCATCGACTACCATAGGTGCTTAGATACCTGATCATCGTCGTCGTCGTCGTCTTCTATGGGCTATGCATTTGGCGTCTACCTGCTTTCGTTCCCTGCAGGTGATGTGTGGGTCATGAAGCCCAAGTTTCGTCTATCTCTGTACTACTTTTGCTGCGGAAGAGAGAACATCTCGGCGAGTGTTTTGAGAAGATCCACGGGCTGCCTCCATCGCTGTCTGCATTCGCACTCGTCTAAACGGATTGAGGGTTCGTCTGACCCAGCCTCCACGGAAGCCCATTCCGGTCTGGTCATTCTGTATTCACCCCTGTCTCAGAGTGAACTACCCATGATGGATCTGGGTGTCAAGTAGACTGTCGCTGGCGAGAAGTTATAACACACCTCCGCCCCCCCCGATCAAGTTTATGTAGAGTCGATATTCAACCAAGCATTTTATTCCTACCCCTGACTCATCGACTTCGAATCTACCAGACACCATCATAACAACTACAAGAGTACATACTCAGACAAGCAGCATTAGACAACGACTCCTCCACCGAAAGAGACATCAACAACCCGTCTTACCCCTGAGAGGCAACTTCGACATGGTTTTCATCTACTTGGGGAAGAAGGCCTACCGGGCCATGAAGGGTTCGGGCAAAACGCAAACGACACCAGCCACAAAGTCAACAGCAACAGAAGGATCAACAAGCGAGAACATAACCTACCAGGACAAGAACAACCAAACCTCCTTAGAAAGAACTTCGAGTACACCGACTTGCGGTCACCAATTCGATCCGGCCTCTGGGCCCTGCCCAACATGCAAGTCTGAGCGCAAGGCCCAGCTCAAGTACAGAGTCAAGATCTTTGCTGGCCTAGTACTCCCCTTTGTAGTCCAAGCCTTGGACGTGACAATCGTAAGTCTGACCTCGTTAGAGCCGCGAAACATGTAACACAGCTGACAAGATCCAAAAGGTCGCCAGTGCCTTGCCTTGGATTGCAGCCGACTTCCGTAAGCCCCTGACTCCATATGCCCATCTTCACCACCCCTTACATGTCTAACAATCGCGCAGACGAGACTCGCCAACTCAACTGGATCATCGCAGCCTTCAACCTCACATCGGCCGCTTTCATCCCATTCTGGGGCCAGATCGCCGACATCTTTGGACGACACGTCTCGATACAGACCTGTTTGGTGCTGATGCTCATTGGCAGCGCGCTGTGTACCGGCGCCCCGACAGATGCCTTCCCCGTCCTCCTGCTCGGCCGCGGCTTCCAAGGCCTGGCGTGTGCTGGCCTCAATGTCCTCGTCCGCATCGTCATCGCCGACAAGGTGACCCTGCGCGAGAACGCCAAGAACTGGGCAATCTTCTCCTTCTTGGGAGGTGTGTTGGGATGGGGTCTGGGCCCTGTCCTGGGAGGTGAGCCACTCCAGACACTGTATTGTCGTTGAGGTATGAAGACTAACAGACGGCCAGGATACATCACGAGCGGTTCTTCTTGGCGATGGTGCTTCGGCATCAACCTGCCCATCGCCTTCGTCAGCATGTTCATCCTCTACTTCGTCCTACGTTCCGAACTCCTCGGGCCGCAACCCATTCCCCAGCTCGACGAGACGACCGAGACGGGCCGACGAACAACCTTCAAAAAGCGTCTGCAGACAATCGACATCGGAGGCCAGCTCCTCTTCCTCTTTGGCTTCGGTCTCCTGGTCCTCGGCTTGACGTGGGCCGGTGCCACATACTCGTGGACTAGCCCCGCCGTTCTTGTGACGCTCATCCTGGGCGTTGTGATCAGCATCCTGTTCATCGTCTGGGAGTACCACATGTCCCCAGGCAAGGCACTGGCCCGTCGCTTCCCGTGGCAAAAGGCCATGATTCCCTGGGAGTTGGTTCGTAACAGGGATATCGGCCTCTTGTTCTACACCTCTTTCGCGACGGGCATGGCCATGTACTCTGTACTGTACTTTTGCAACATCTACTTCACAATGGTGAAGCTTTGGTCGGCAGACCAGTCTGGCGTACAGCTGCTGTACTTTACTCCAGGCTTGGCAGGTAAGTTTTCCCAAATGGTGTATGACCAAACAAGTTGCTGACGGGTGAATCTTGCAGTTGGTGTCTACGCCTCGGCTTTCATGTGCAACGGCTGGCCGCGCAAGACGTTTCCGCCCATCTTTCTCGGATCGATCCTCGAAATGCTCGGCATCGGCTTGTTGGCGTGGGCACTTTGGACAGAACACAACCCAACCGTATACGGGATGATGGCTCTCACTGGTGTCGGAACCGGTCTTCGTATTATGCCCGGTAAGTGTTCCTCTCTTCATAATCCCTCTGATCATGAGAAGTGAGACTAATCCTCAGCCTAGTCCCTCTTCACGGTGTCGGCTACTTCCCCAAGAAGATCGCAGCCGTCATTTCTCTCATGGCAGTCGCCTACCCCTTTGGCGGAACGTTGGGCCTGACCATCATGACGACTGTCTTCAACAACGCTTCTGGCATCGGCGAGGACTCGCCCCTGAGAGACTTTGAGGCCCTCAGCCGTCTGCCGGCGGCCACGCAGCAACAGATTACCCACGACGCCAAGATGGGCGTCGTCTGGGCGTTTGTCGCCATCTGTCCTTTTATGGTCCTCGTAGGTCATGCCCCAATATTCGAGAAAGCTTTCTTTCATTATAAAGCTAATACAACGTCTTCCAGTGCACGATATCGGCTTCGCTTCTTGGCAATGTCTACATTAGTAAAGTCGAGGAGGGCAAGGATGAAAGGCAAAACGAAATCTACGAGGGCGTGTATTTGCTTAGCTATTTCCGCAAGGGAGGCAATGCCAGGAACCTCAGAAGGGAGCATTTGTCGGGCGGGGAGTCGACTTTGGAGTAGGTTGATAATGATTTGCATGGGCTGAACTATCAAACTGTTTATTGATTGTTTTTGATCATCTTCTATAGATTATGGGGAGTGGTTCTTTGATAAATTAGACTTGCAGCGTCATGATTAATTACTCCAATCTGTTTGTAGCAAGATTGAAATGAAGGTAAGATTGAGAAGGTTTATGAAATATACAACACAATGTTTGCCAAAGCATCAAAGCACTTCTGTTTTAGGGCCTCCCATCTACATCTCGCATCAATGAATTGACAGCACTTGACGTCGGACAGTGGCGAAGAGAAACAAGGAAAAGCCAACCATTCCTTTCATCGAGAACGAAAAACCTGCTGGCTTCGTCAAGTCTGGGTGCGGCGAATGTCAATCTGATTCGCTGCGCAACGCCGAGGCGAGGTGGCCAAGTTGGCCCGATTAGGAAAGTGGGCTGTGTGTTTTGTGGTGCGGTCGCGAAGCTCCGGCGGCCGGATCCTCTCCGCAACCTCACCTCACCTCATCACACTTCTAGCATCGTCTCTCACCGTCTTTATGAGAGAAGTGCGTTTCTTCGTATTCGGAACTGGACGCTCACTTTCATCAGGTAGATTGGCCGGAGGACTCATCCCCCTCACTCACAAGTCTCACTAGAGTGGGCCAAATCATCCCATCAAACTTGTTATCTCACATCCATCAAGCTGGCATTCATCAAGGCGTCGCATACACACATGAACCCGAATCTTTTCTCATCTCAATTCTCACCCTCACCACCAAAAATGGACATCGACCAACTTCCCACAACAGACGCAATATCCAGCCCGCCTCCGGCCTTACAGGACGAAGAAGCCCACCTCAAAGCACGCACCTCGGACTCCAAATTCTGGCTCGACTTCTCCCTCTTCGACGACGGCCTTGAAGCCCCACGCGCGGAGTCTCTCACGACCCTTTCGCACTTTCACCGCTTTCCGGACCTGCCGCCGGAGATCCGCCTCAAGATATGGTCTTACCTCATCGCCCCCCGCGTCGTGACGGCCTGCTGCTTCGAGCGCGATGCTAGGCTGCCTGCCCGGCGTGAGGCGTTTGCGAAACGTTCTCTCGCCGCACCCTGTTTCCCCTCCTCCTCCGCATGTTCCGCCACAAATACAATGCTAGATTGTAGCCCAATAAGAGAAGAAACACCAGGAGGGGTGACAGGGGAGGGAACGACAGGAGGAGGAACAATAGGAGAGTGTACGACAGGAGGAACAATGGAAAGAGAAGCGCCAGGGACAGAGACCAAAGAAGAACAAGACAAACGGATCTTCAACCCAACATGCCCCCTCATCCTCCTCATCAGCCGCGAATCCCGCGCCCTCGGCCTAAAACACTACGAACTCGCCTTCGGCTGGCGCATCTCGGCCCTCCTGTCCGACACCCCCATCGCCCGGCCCCCGCGCGTCTGGTTCAACTTCGCCCTCGACGCCCTCTACCTCGTCGGCGAGCTCGAGGCCTACGACCAGTACGGCTTCAACAGCCCCATGGTGTATTTCCTGCGCAAGGAGGACACGAGGCGCGTGCGGCACGTCGCCTGCGCGTTTGAGGAGCTGCATTACCCCGAGCAGGAGTCGGATCAGATCTTTGGGTGCCTATGGCACGTTGTCGATCGGTTCGCGGGCGCGAAGCGGTTGATGGTTGCTGTCACGCCGAGGGACGAGGAGGGGATGAAGGGGTGTCTTATGTTGAGCCCGGACAATATCATGCAGAAGATTTGGAACGGGTGGATTCTGGGGACGACGGTGACGAGCTCTAGTCTGGCGGATACGCAGATTTTGATGGTGAGGGAGGGCGATCTGGCTGATGTTATGGCGTGTCATGCCGAAGAAGACGAGGAGAAGGGGGCCAAGAAATCGGCCGTGACGGTGTGCCCTTAGGAGGGGTCCACTGATGCCCACAGAAGTGAATGCTCTTTCTGCGTGGTACGGAAGTTTTTGGAGTTGAAAGGTGAGGGTTATCTTTGAGATTGATTATACAGCTGTTGTACATATGAATAGAGGGGAGGGTTGCTATGCCGCCCGCCTAAAGACCGGCCTAATGATGAAATTGGTATGTTCCCGAAACGCCGTTTCCGTTGCGCCATTCCGCCCGAATATCTACAACACCACGGCATTCTGTGAAGCGGCCTCCATGCAGTGATGAAAGACCAGACTCACTCCTTGCCCTTGTCGAAACCCTCAAACGCAGGGCTGGGATTGTCTCCCTGCCTCCGCATGCCGCCAAGCAGCCAATCCGTCAGCCCGACGACCTTGGCACCGACACCCTTCTCCCAGTCGCCACCCTCTTGCACCGTTTCGATCGTATGGCTCAATATTTTGCCCTCAGCATCAAACTGGAACACGAAGAGCCCCGTGAACGCTTTATCCCCGCCGTCTTCCACCTTCACGCCCCCTCCTTCCGACGCCCCAGCGCTAGAGGACGTAGATACCGACCCGCCGCCGATCCCTCCGCCATTCTTCTTGCCAGATGCGCACCACCTGACCACGAGCTGCTCCGGGACAGCACCAGGGTGTAACGGCGCAAAATGGAGGGGCTGCTTCGTCACCCGCTCTGAGATGATGGATAGGCGGACGTTCCCGACCAGCGGCAGGCGGTTCCAGGCGATGGGCGAGGTCCAGAGGGCAGCGGTGTAGGCGACGCGGCCGGAGACGGTCGGGAGGTGCGGGTGTGTTGTCGGGAAGAGGTGGAGCGAGATGTTTGGGGCGAGGATCTCTTGCGGGAGCGGAGATTGGAGGACCCGAGGTAGGTGGTCTTGGAGGATGCGAAGGGCTGTTTTAATTGGGATGCTGTTAGCCCTCTAGTTGCGCAACACGCCTCTGACTCGTTCACGTAGGTTGAGAAAGACCTACTTTTGCCCAACTTGGCATTGTTCTCATCGCCTGGCTTCTTGCCGGGGCCGCCGCCGGTGGTGGATAGGGTTGCGTTGGAAGGGTTGAAGTAGCGGTTCTGGGGCTCGACGGCCTTCGTTCTCGCACGCGCCAGGGCGGATGGCGGGGGAGGAATTATCGTCTTTGCCGTAGTTGTGGCAGTATTCGCAGCGGCCATGGCGGCGGCAGCTACTGTCGCGGCGGGAATCGTGCTCGCGGTGCTCGTTATGCTTGGGGTGGACGCATTTACGGCGGCGGCACTGGACCACAGTTGCGAAGTCAGCGGCGACGTCGTAGCGGCCCGCACGCCGGGCGATGTAGCTAGGCGCAAGGTGGCCATGGATACTGGAGAGCGGCAGTCATAAATTAAAAGAATATCGCGCGAGGAAGAGAGAGCTTTGTGCCGTTGGGCGTAGTAGGCAAGAGGAAAAGCACGCAAAGGCGACGGATACAACAGATGATGTCAGGAACAAGTACGCTGCGGAGGGAAGCGACGGATCAGAATTCGCAGGGGTGAAGCTCTAGCTTCAGAAATCCCATGGTTCAGGTACCTCAAGCTTAGGATGGCCGGGGGTACGGAGAGGGACCCGCACGCCCGGATGGTGCCCCACTTTGACATCGGTCCAGACGGGAGACAACGTCTAACTGCCAATGAGGATACATGGTACTTGGGAGGGGAAAGTATCTCAAGTATGAAGGTGCTCCAGGGAATTGACCATTCAATTGCTTGTGAACCCTCGATTGATATCTACGTTTCTCGTGTGCTATCTATGCTTTTTAGACCTTACGCCGTCCTTGTCAAAACTCCAATATCCCGGGCTATGCGTGATACACTTCAAGTACTATACACGTCGCGCCATCTCATCATCTCGGGTGAGGGAACTCGTCTGCGAGCTGCAGCCTCACGCCGACGTTCATACTGATGAGCTCCTGCACCAGAAGTTTGGCGGCGTAGGGCATCGTCATCTGTGTAACCTCCCTGGTGCTCTTGCACGTGTGGCAGTAACCCTTGTAACCGAACAAACCGCACTGCTGGCAAATATCAAGCTGCGTTCCGTCGGAACTAATCATGAGACGCTCAAGCAGTAGCTGGGATGCACCGTACGCAATCAAACAATCGCGCTCCATCTCACCCAGACGGAGACCACCATCTCTGGAACGACCTTCTGTGGGTTGGCGGGTAAGGATGGCTCTGGGACCACGAGAACGAGAGTGCATCTTATCTTGCACCATGTGCTTCAGGCGCTGGTAGTAGATGGGTCCGTTGAAGATGTAAGCTTCCAGAGGCTCTCCAGTGATACCCGAAGTGAAGTAGTCTTTGCCTTCCCAGGAGAAACCGTGATCGACCAGGGCAGCGCTCATCTGTTCCAGGGGGTGAGAGCGGAAAGCGTCGCCAAATCCGTAGTCTTTTCGTCCGTCCAGAACCGAAGCCTTGCCAGTCAAGCATTCAAGCAGCTTGCCAACAGTCATACGGGACGGGAAACCGTGAGGGTTCATGATGATATCGGGAACCAGGCCAGTGTCAGAGAATGGCAAATCCTCTTGGTCGACGATGATTCCAACAACACCCTTTTGTCCGTGACGGGACGAGAACTTGTCACCAAGCTCCGGTCTTCTTGTCTGTCGTGTCTGAACCTTGACCACCATCGTTTCTCTCTCCGTGTGGGACACCATCACCTTGTCGATGTATGCGGGGTCCGCAATTCTGTATGAGATGGAGGAATCTCTGAATTCGCTTGGTCCACGATCCATGCCGATACCTGTGGATCCAGTATCGAGAGGTGTTTCCTTCTTGATCATGACCTCGCCAGAATTGACCTTGTAGCCCACAATGGCGAGACCATCGTCGTCCAAGGCCTCGTGCTTGGTCGTCCTGCCGTTTTCGTCGTTGACCGGATCACCAATGCGTTCGCGTCGGCCGTTGGGGTACTTTTGCAGCTCGGCTGTGTACTTGCGGAATACTTGGCAGCGTCCGAAACCGCGATCACATGATGCCTTATTCAAGACTAACGCGTCCTCAATATCGTAGCCCGAGTACGACATGACAATAACTGTTGCGTTCTGACCAGCGGGGAGTTTATCGTAGTTGACAAGCTGAATTGTCTTTGAGATGACCATTGGTCTTTGCGGATAGACAAGGGTGTAAAGCAGGGTGTCGATACGGTTAAATTGGTTGTATGCGATAGCGCCAATAGCTTGTTTACCCATGGCGCATTGGTAGGTGTTTCGAGGAGATTGGTTGTGGTGAGGGAAGGGAATGAGACCAGCGACTGCGCCAAGAACAGTGAAAGGCTCGATTTCCATGTGTGTAGTAAGAGGGGTAACGTCTTTCTCGTAGAGAGCAACGAGAGTGTCGTTCTCTTCGTTGACGTCAAGATACTCGACAATACCATGAGTTAAAAAATCGTCGAACGTAGCCTTGCCCAGTTGCAAAAGTCTCAGGTGTTCCTCCTTGAGCTTGGGCTTTCCGTTCTTGACAATGATGTAAGGTCGGCAAATACGTCCTTCATCGGTGGCAATGTGGACTGCGTTGAAGTGATTGTTGATATGAATGCTGACGAAGGGAGAAATCCAGCCGCGCCTTCTCATCGTTCTGAACTTACCCGCAAATCGCTTCGGGTATCTGGTCAATGCGAATGGGGTTCCGTTTATGTGAATGACGTACGAAGTCTCGCGGTGCATTTCTCCGCCTGAGAAGTTCCGAATAGGTTCCACACCGGCATCCAGAGTGAAGACCCATCGCTTGACTGGCGCTTCCTCTACGTTGGTTGTGATGTGCGTCATGAGAGCCAAGTTCTTGACCAAACCACAGGCTTCACCTTCGGGTGTATCTGAGGTGCAAAGCATACCCCATTGTGAGGGTTGAAGAGCACGAGGACCGGAGACTTTACGGGTCTTTTCAAACTGCGAGCTGATTCGAGTCATCATACCGAGAGCGCTGATGTAGCTTAGACGACTGAGGACGTGGGTAACACCGGCTCGGTTCATGTTGAAACGCTTGACGGTCCAGTTTCCTGTCTGGATAGCTCGATTGATACCCTGACCAATCATGTTGGCGTGGTTGCTGATCATGTTAACGGCATCAAGAGGAACAGCTCTGTTGTCTTTCTTAAGAACCTTGTCGATGCTGCTCTTGACGTTGCCACAAAATTGCTTGAATAAATCTTCAAAAAGCAGGGAGAGAAGTTGTCCTGCTAACTCGAGTCGCTTGTTTCCGACGAAATCACGGTCGTCAACGAGACTTGGGTCGGCTTGCGCCATCAAGACACGTCGCGTCATGAAAGCCACATAGACAGCCTTGGGATAGAAGTCCAGGCCCTCAATGGGGACGTGGGCGATGATGAGGTTCGCCAAGGCGTCGAGAGCTTCTTCGACGTGGTTTCTTCGGACTTGCGCGGCGAAGGGGACCCTACTTTTGCCCATCTTTACTCTGGCGCCGATATACTCCAAGGCTTGCTGTTGCGTATAGACGCCAACCTTGGTTGCTTCCTCAAATTGAATGAGGAACTCGTCTTGATATTTTCCGTTGTCGCCGGCAACGAGTTGCATGATTTCGTAGTCTGACAGGCCCCCGAGCGCCTTCAGGATGATGACAATGGGGATGCCTTCCACCAAAATGTTGGCAGTGAGAAGAATCCGGTCCTTCTTGAGCGTCACATACGTCTTGGACTTGCGTTCGTGAGTCGAACTGGTAACTGATGCTGTGATGACGCTGTTTTTCTCGTCGGCTTCAACAATGACACGGTTCTTGCTCAGCTGTTCCTGAATGAGGATGACCTTCTCCGTGCCATTGATGATGAAGTAGCCACCGGGATCAAGAGGACACTCATTCATGCGCGACATCTCTGCGTTGTTGGCCCCACCAAGTCTGCAGATGGAACTCTTCAACATGACGGGAAGGCGTCCGAGGGGGACATTCTTCCGAACAATCTTGGACTTGTCGCGAATGTAGGCGATGTCGACCATGATGGGTGCAGCGTAGGTCATGTCGCGCAAACGACACTCCATTGGTGTAACCTCATTCTGAGCTCTGATATCGTTGAAGTCGACGCGACTGGGCCGCTCAACTCTGATATCAGTGAACCTGGCAGGGCGTTAGACAAGCTCATGCAAAATGGTGCAGGGAACGGTGGCTTACTCGAGCCAGAATGAACTATTCACATCGCTTCGAACAATGCGGTTGGCGCGGACAATTTCCTTGATCTCATTTTCGACAAAGAAATTGTACGAGTCAATGTGCTGCTTGACGAGACCCTTCACCTTGAGAAAGGCGGGTAAGAGCTGAAATTTATCCTCCTTGGTCGAGATAGGATCCGTCAGCTTCTTTCCGTTGTAAAAGGGCTCCAAAAGAGCCTCGAAGCCGTCGTCCTGCATGATGGTCACCGTGTTCCGCCTGTGACCATTATGTGTCGTTTGGTATTTGCGGCAACGCGGAGGGAGGGTCTACCGCAGATTTTTGAGATGCAGGCGGTCGAGTCACATCGCGAGTTTGAGGCAAGTGGTGGGCAACAGAAAAGTTTGGCCCCGCGGTGCCGGGTGCTGGCAGCAGCCCCACCTTTGCGCGACCGAGTGTCACTGGTAGTGGTAAGGTATGTAATTCAGAATCTTAGTAAGCATGGTGAACTTGGGACGGCGACGACCTGACCGGGCTGCGCGGGGCACACCTTGGTTGACCTCGGTGAGCCACGCCGAGATGTGTCAGCCCGCCTCACAGCAAAAATGCTCTGCCATGCGTTGTCCACCTTGCCCTGCCTTACCATATTGCTTACTGACTTACCTTGGAGTGCCTTAAGGTTAAGAGACTGACCACACAGTTCATCCCAACCTGCTGATGGACCTAGTTCCTGGACTAAGGTGATTGATGGTGCATCTTGGGTTCAGGCACCCACATGGCATGGTGAAAGGTGATTAGTTTGCAAAGCTTACGGACACACATCCTCATAAGGTGGAATACCAAGTGGCACGATGACTTTGAAGCAACTTATTGAACCAACGGCTAATCAGGTCGTGGTCTTTCCATCTGTGGGTTCGATCTCTGCTAGGCTCTGCGTTGACGGGTGACCAAACCCAGGGCTTTGGGCCCGCCTCGTACGTTGTGCAGCACCGTCAATGTCAGGGACCATTTACACGCATACTGCGTATCCGTACCTCACTCAACGACCCGTACGGATACTTAGGTTTTCAATGCTTGTGCCATGGTCAAAGAAAGTGGATAACAGAATGTGAGCAACTCAGTCAGCGCTTCAGTTTTGGCATCCCAATGAAGCAGCACCGCGCTTGGCTGGAGACACCCAGCCGCGACTGCCTCCAAAGTCCAAAGCCAAGTTGACCAGGGACTTCGGACACTTTCCTCAAGTGGTTGACGAGTGGGGGTTGTCGCCGTTCCAGGTCACCACTTTAGGCTGTGGGAACTTGGGAAGCCACGCCTGAGCAAGGGAGGAGAGAAAGCAGACAGGGCCTGCGGGTGCCTTGTCGTCTGCTGCAGCCCCGCCCTCGGCCATCTTTTCTCTCTACTTCATACTTTACCCCTCTTCGTAACAGACAAAAGCCTCTATTTCAACAGTCTGGGTCTACGGGAGTATGGGCCCTCCGGACACGACCGACTACGTAGCCCTTACACATCCAATCTCAGAAATATGCTGGAACTGCATTATTTCGATATCTTGCTCTGCAACAGCCGTGGTGTTCTGATGTTATCCAAAATGAGAAGCAGTTCACGACACCAGGGTTGCTTCTAGGGCCTCGGACAGCAAATCATTTCGCTGCTCCTATCCATAATCATTGTACGGTCTTGTTCTGTCGTCACACCTGCATGGGATCAGAATGCTCCCCGCAGGGTATCCCTTTGCACGACCCGCAGCTGGTGATGCGGCGGCGACGGCGGCGTCTGCATGTTGCGTTGGCAGAGGGTATACTGCACTTCGTACCTACTGTGGCAAGCCAAGTCGCATCCCATCAACTGCAACTGCCCCTCTTCGACTCCAGATATCGGACCCCGATCGGTTAGGTGGTGAAGCTGCCCCGCGATACAATGAAACGGATACCTACACCTAGCACACGTCCCTCCAGCTTTAGAGCTACAATGAACGCTACTTCCAAGGGCACAATAGTCGATCGAGAGAGAATCAAAAAGCTATCAGTGCTTCGTTTGCCGCTTCTTACAGTCTCCTGAAACCGTTCTCTGCGGCGTAGTCTAGGCTCTGCCACCGTTACTGTTGACCTGGAAACACACAAAGACGTCGAATCTGGGCGAAGTTTGTCACCTATGATGCAACAGGTCAACCCCGCGAGTCACGACCTGCGGCCCCGAAGATTGCGGCCGATCTAGGGTCCAACCACTCTGTTATCGGACAACCCCTCCTCCTACTGGGGTTTCGCAACACAGAGGAGCCAGAGCCAAGGGCTTTGCCGCCTTTGCCTGATGGGACCTTTCCTCGACCACATGGACCCAGTGCCAGAATGGCAATCGAAAAAAGGGGTGGCGAGGGAATATCCGAACTAGTTGATCGTCGAACCGACTTTCCTCGGGTTAGCGCAGAATATGGCATATGGAAGACCATTCAGAATTCTAGCCCGTCGTCTTTCAACCAGGATCCGTCAACAAGCATCCTGCAAGTGACATGGGACGACAGTCAGAGTCAGAACGTCTTCTGCCATCCTCAAGCCTCCCCCGCCGCCAAGGTACAAAGCCGATACCTGTCGAAGCCTCCTTCAAGGCACCTTCTGACAAGTCACTATGGCCCTGAGCCTGGAGTTTTTTTGTTACTCTCCACGCCAATGCCGCTGCCCACGCCTACTTTGTCGCAGACTCGCAGATAGTCCACTCAATGCGGGCCTTAAAAGTCGGTGTAGAACCGAGCCGCTAGAAGCTTGCGACAGCCCATGCTTGCCGCCCAACAATTCAGTTTTCCTGACTGCTATTTTCGCGATTTTCAAGCCAGGACGGGCCATTCCATGCCTCTCAGGAAACCATCTAGCCGCATTATGACGAAGCACTGGAGCCTCTACCCCGACCATGGATCTTCGCAAACCACCCGGCGGCTGGAAGGTGGGAAGATGCAAGTCACTTCGAGACCCTCGCCAGCCCACCTGGCACCAGCAACGGTCCAAGATGCGGCGCCAATATGACAAGGCCTGCCACTTAGGTGCTGCGTCGCCGTGCCCGAATCGCGGGGCACATCACGCATGTTTCTGAATTGTGTGTTCTCGTCCAAAGCGTGCTGAGAATGAGGCTGGAAGCTTCAAGTCCTCCGTACTCCGTACACCTGGCCCTTCTCCTCGTTCGTCTCCCTGCAGGGACAGATGGCCTCGACAACCATACCCAAGCCGCAGCCCTAAAAGGCACGCACATGTTGGCTCTTTTTAGGCGAATCGACATGCATCCTGTATGAAGCTGCAAAGCATTCACTCCCTTGTGTGTTCGGAATCTTGAGCGTTGAGAATGCATAGTCTTCTCCCCACATGGAGGTTTTCTGAGTCTTGCTGTGTGAATACAGACTGACAAGCCACGGTTTCGCGCGCCGCCTAGCCAGGCCAGTTTTAGCCAGAGACCCTCAGTTCGGGAAGACCCTGTCTCCCCGCCAGCGGCTTACGAAGAAAAAAAAGAAGAAAAATGTTGTGGAGCTCTTCGGAGCGGCAGAAAAGAAGGGTAAGGATGGACCTGATACTCAGAATCGAGTAATCTTCGGGAGCCCCGTTCAGCGGTTCACCGACCAAGGGTTGCGGTCCATTCGTCAACTGGTGCTCTATATTCGCATTCACACGTTGAAAATCGCCACGGATATCATCAATTTACAAGAAAAACCAACGCCGCAGGATGGACCAATAAGGGCGAAGACCAGCACTTGTCTCAGGATAAATCTCACCGCAACAAACTCATGAGTTTGGATAGAAACCTTACACTGGAGCCGGCTCATTTGATCCTTCGGAACCTAGAGAGGGTTTCTGATACTGACCAGAATAAGCCTCTGCACTTCTGACGACGTATGTAGACTCTTGGGTGTCAACGGCCAACGGAGCCTCCCTTTGACGAGCGATTTGACGTTTGGACCAGGCACAAAACGGCAGGCCTCGAATACCTTGGATGGCTAAACAAGAGCCGATGCTCTACGTACCCCATGTGCACATCCTATCCTGTTCGTTGGCGAACAGCCCTTGTCTGTCCACTCGGTTCAGTCGATCTTCGACGGCCATGGCACAGACGTGCGATCAGTCCTTTTTTACCTCGACGCAACTCCTCATTCCCAGAGCCTGTTGCGAGCAGCAACGTGTACTGTCAATGAAGCTCGCGGACATCGCAACGTTGTGACAGCTGGCATGAATATCTAGATCTTTTGGCCGCACTCGTTCGATCCGGGGAAAGCACGTCGGTGTCACACAGGGCTATCCAAGTCCCGAAGAGCGATGCAACGCAGGTAGTGCGCGGCACAGACGGTATGCTAGGCTCGCAGACAGAAACAAAGCTACATATTTGACAGCCCACAGTACAGGCTGCCGCTTCACCGCTCAACGAAGCATGCAGGTCCTTGGTTCGGAGCTTGCTTCGCAGCAAAAACGAGAGCAAATCATGTACAAGGTGTTTCCCAAAGCCCCAAGCCCTACTTGGCAGATTGGCAATTCGACAAAAGTCAAGCACAGAAATGATACAAGGCGGTGACAGTCAAACCCAAGATGGGGCATCAACTCAGCGTGAGAACTTGCCGCCACAGACCTGGCAGTCTCTGCAAACTGGGTAATAGGGGATCTCGGGCCTCCTGTCAGACCGAGATAGAGTTTCCGATGCACTGGCAACAGCCATTTCTGTCGTCAACGCTCGCACAACCTTGACAAGCTTGGGTGGTGGGCCATCCGCACCGTGCTACACTCGCAAGAGACAGCCCCTGACAGGAAAGCGGAACAAGATGGTCAACTGGGACTAGTACGGATGACCTCCGACCTGCTAGACTCGGCGGTTTCTATTGCTGTTAGTGCACCAGCCCCTCAGCAGGAGAGGAGGGGAAAAGACGAGGGGGTAAAGAGAAAGAGAGACACACAGTGAGGGGGGCGGAAGGGTGTGCAATTGGGCAATGGGCCTGGAATGCTCGCTCCGTGCATGTCACGAGAGAAAAGGACAGGAGGAGAGAGAATGAAGCCAGACACGGCCGAACAAGTCAAGAGATATCGACAGACGAGTCGGTATATTGCAGCCATCGACCACTACCGATTCAACGGCAATGTCCACCGTTCTATCGTTGTATCACCGCTGCCAATACTGACTTGATGGTAACCTCTTGAGAGTCATAGAACGCCAATGGCTGACACAGCCAGGCTGGAGTTGTTTTAGTACCTAAGAGGTATCCCGCGAATATAGAGTGCAACCACATCTGCGGGCTTGCCCTCCAGTCTTGCCGCTGCTCCTGGGCGCGGGAGGGTTTTGAACAGGGTTCGCAAGACCGCCCCTCGCCTCCCACTGGCTGTTTTGCCCTTTTGGAAACTTCATGGGAAGAGGAATTGCGAAAGCCCAAGCTGCGCTGCGTCAGACTCAAGAGCCACCACCACCACCACCATCCACCACCCACACCCACACACACACGCCAGCACACCCGTCGAGCATCAACCACATGCACACGCACCGCGGCTACCCTAGCTGCCTACCTACTCTATGTACAGTGCAAGCTTGACGCTATCCAGACTTTGTACCTGCTCTGAGTACCCGCAACTCTCCTCCCGACCTGGCCAGGTACGGCGCGCGAAGGACTGGACGCTACCTTGACAAGGACAGGGCAAGGTGTGGTAACGCAATACGGCGCAGGGTACTTTGTCTTCCCTTAGCCTCCAGCCAGTCTCTGAGCGGGAGAGAGAGAGGAACGAGGGGCTTTCTCGTCACTTGAGAGTGCCCGTATGGTAGTTACGGATAGTCAGTAATTACCTACGGTACGGAGGAAGTCCTTCGCATCTCAGTCCCTACGGATATCCTTCGCGGACTGAGCAGGGGTTCTTTCGGTACCAAAGCAAACCACCCCTCCGACTTGCAAAGCCGCCCTGGCCTGGCACCTGGTTAGCGAGTGAGATGTGGTGGTTCCTGTCTGTGGTTCCTCTCTCGATGTGGCCCCCGTCAAACTGGGCACCCCCGTCGTTGGCGCAGGGGTATCTTGGGCCGCCGGCTGGCCTGCCACGCCCTCTCAACCGTGCTTGTCTCCCACACCTGAAAATCGCTACATTACCTTCTTATGCTCCGAGCCTGCTCTTTTCGTTTCTCCCCACGTTGGTCGTCGGTTTCCTACCCAGTTCTCTTTCTGTACACCATCTCGTGTGTCCGTGTATTCCAAAACCCTCTTCAACTTGTCGCTCCTGGCTCTCCAGGGCGCGGCGTGTGAATTTTATCTGAGTGTATACTCTGTACTGCACCGGGGAAGAATACCGCGGGAGAAGAAAAAAACCAGGTACGTTCCAGTTCTTTTGTTCTCTTTGTGCTTGGCTGGTCGCCGTATCACACCCGCATCTATGTGTGGTAGAGCTCGTCGATTGTGGGAGCAACTGCGCCGTGGCGGCAAGAAACACATTACACACAACGCAAACACGAGGAGAGAGACAACCAGAGAGGAAACAACACTTGCGGCTGCCCTTTGTGCAGTTATGCCACCAAATCAGCGAGTCAACTCAGTCGGACATGGTAATGCGCTCCCAGAGGCTTCTCGACATCCCAAAGCACAACATCGCAAAGCTGGCTGCCAGGCCCGAACGGAAAGGGGAACAAGAGGTAGGGATGCTCGGCAGAAGCTGGAGAGGCAACGACAACGGCAGTGACGGTTTCGGACCGCGATCCAGAGGCCCAAGAAGAGACAGGAGTTGCAAGGCGAGACATTCGAGTCTCACTCAGGCTGCCCAGCTTCAGCTGCTGCCATGCGTCCACTGCCATCATTCTCCTTGTCTCTTCAGCGCTTCACCGACCGCCGCCCGCATTTGGAGAAGGCCAGGACCAAGACCAGGACCAAGAGGGAACCCCCGGACCAGCACCACCAAACTTCGCCAGTTCCGCACCCCGCCTCCAATTTCCCTTGTTTCCAGAATCACGAAACTCTTGCTCTGTTCTGTTGTTTCTTGCCGCCATGGGCGTCACACGGAACCTCATCTACCACATTCTTTGATGCTGCCGCCGCTGCCTTTTCGCCGCAACAAAACCCTCTACATGTTCATTTTGCTGACCGCCGGCCTTGCTTGATGCCAGCAGTATATAGAAACCGCAGCCACTAGGCCTCTTTGCGCCGTGTACGAATTGTTGGAATAAGCCGAACCATGGACGAGCTGCGCTTCCGATCTCAACAGTCGCCCCGTAACGAGTCCACGATGAACACACTTGTCTCACCTCCGCGGAACGTCCGCCTCCCGCAGCCTGTTCAGGCCCACGATGGGCGAGGTGCCCTACCTCGCCGCTTCACCACGGATTCGGGGCGTGTACCAACATTGTCTTCAATCACCGGTCAGCGCGGCCCTGACCTTGGTGGCCCTGATTATAACAACGTACGTCTCTTATCCACGAGTGGAATGCTATCCCGTTGCGTTCCACGCGCAATTCTTCATTCGCCATCGTGCGCTGTGCTCCGTAAGAATGCGACTGACATTGCCTTGTCCAGACTTTCCACAAAGTTCAATTGGTATGTGGGCTTCCGTCATTTCGCTGTAGAATCTCGTTAGCGACAAGACCATCACCACAAGCAGACACTGCAAGGTTGATACACACAGTAAAGGAGGAAAGGTTATTAACTGCGTGGTCTAGATTGAGAAGAAGAAGATCGAATATGAGAGACTGCGCGAGCAGAGACGTCGCTTCGAGATGGAGATGCAGAAGCTGGAGCAGGCCCAGCGTCGCGAGGAGATGGAGCTTGCAAAGATGCAAGACGACCTCCGCCAGGGTCACCAGTCGGAGCCTACGACGCCGCCCGAATACCACGAATCGTCCGGCTTCCCCACGATGTTCTCGCGTCCCAACCGCTACTCGACTTCGAGCTTGACCTCGCCTCCCGGTCTCTTCAACCGTCCCGGCCGCTCGGGCTCGCAGCTCACTTCGCCGCACTCCACGGTGATGCAGTCCCGCTTCACCTTTGACGACCATTTGCCATCCCGATCCGTGCCGGGATCTCGCAGAAACAGCGACGAGGACGAAAAGGAGGAGGCAGTTCGCCAAGATCCGACTAGTCATCGATCTTCCAACGCGTAAGTGCAGTAATCCGTATAGTGTGACCAGTATGTTTGCTTCTTGGACAAGTCTCTGGATGAGTATCACGGCATAAGGTAGCGAATGCCGGTAAAGCTGTTTTGTCGACGTTTGGCAAGGTCTGGTACTGTTGGAAAGAAACGAGCGGCGGCAATGGGGCCCCACAAGTTGACTTTCAAGGACCGCTCTTGCCTTGGATGGGAAGAGTTCTTTCCTTGAGATGGGCGAGAGCTCCTTCCCTCGATCCCATCCCTCTGGATCTTCTACATCCTCACCCCACTCGTCGATAAAACAGCGATCTCGAGCAGCCAGCGGCCTCAACTTCGACCGTTCCACACCCACACCACCACATACTTTACGCACCACACCCTCACAGTCTCACACATCTATCGACCAAACAACAATAACTTATCCTTTCAAGTTACACCATAAAACATTGCGCACCTGGTCTTGCGTCTTTACACCACGCTTTAACGACGTTCAAATCCTTTGTTCCAATCTCACAAATCGCACCTGCCTCTCGAACGCTTCTGACAAAAGAACGCTCGTGCTGGTTTTCGAAAGCTCCGTTCAAATCGACCGCCGAGGAATCTTGGAAGGCCTTCCCGTTTTCTTCCATTTTCCTTCGTTTTGTTTCTTCTCGAAGCAGAACAACCGACAGCCCAAGACTTGCCCAAGAAGAGGAACATACTTACCGCACAGCAAGCAAACCTCTATCAATTTGAGCAATGGCTGACACTGGAATTCCCAACGATAGCTACAACCGCTACTCGATGCCGGTCACGCGCTCTCGCACTGGTCTCTACGGCGCCGACCTCGACCAGACTGGCACTGCTCGCTTCCTCTTTGGCGAGGAGGACGCTTCTGGCGAGAACAAGTACGGCCAGGCCAACGGCGACGACAACTTCCCTACTCTGGTTCGCCAGAACGATCAAATGGTATGTCTGCGCATTTTGTTTCTTCACATTCATACCATCTCTCTCTTTCTCTCTCTATTCTCTTTCTCATGACCTATTTTACCCTATTACCCTATTCAATGCATGAGCAAGCTGGTGCCTATGGTTCTTCTGCCTGCTCAGCAAGAAGAAAAAGGCCCACATGCTTATTTTGCCCATGAGTGGTGAAGTGCCACGTTCCGAACCTCGCGGCCGGGAAGGTGCGAGCCGCAAGCAACCGCACCTACTGCAGCTGCAGCTTGCTTCAACTTCACCTCCTGTCCGTCAGATTCACCCCGCACACCTTGGTCAGAATTTCCACTCCGCCCTTTTTTGCCCTCTTGTTTTTTGTCTTCTTTCCTGATTCCACCCGTGGATGCGAGTGAAAAAAAAAGAGGAGGAGCAGAATACCCCCATATCCGTCCCCCTTCCTTTTCTGTCCGTTTACCGCTTGCTCCTTCCTCCCGCCAAGGTCAGAGTTTTGCAGGGAAAATACTGTCGACACAAACCTTCGAATTTGTCAGCCTCCGATCAACTGTTGACAATTGTTTGCGTCGTATAGCTCTCTGCATCATCCGCTGCCCTTGACCTTGCCCTGTCTCCCTCGCCCGCTCCTGACGCGCCGTCCTCCCATGGTTGGGGCAATATTAACCGTCACCGAACCCAACAGAGCTTGTCTGCTATCAACACGTCTTCGCTCAACGGAGCTTCATCTTCTGGAGAAATCGGCAAGCGTTCCTCAGTCCGCCACTCGCTCGACTTGAAGTTCTTCCCGGACGCTCCCTCCGACAACCAGGCTTCCATCGTCTCTCCTCCCGGCAACCACCCCGGTAACCACATCATGGCTACTCCTCCCAAGTTGCAGAGCTCCTTCTCTGCCAACGATGTGCCTACCGTCAAGAGCACTACCAACGGCGGCCCTGTCACCAACAACCACGCCCAGCAGCATTTCCACAACCACAATGCCAGCATCGGTCGCATTCCCGCTGGCGCTGTCCCCGGCCGCCATAGCCGTGAGCTGTCCAAAGACAACAACATGGGCGGCCCTCGCGAGCAGGCTGGTTCTTATCCTTCCATCCAGTCGGCTCTTCAGGCCAATGCCGCTCCTTTCGGTCCTAATGCTCCGGGTCAAGGCTTCCCTCACACCTCTCAGGGCAACCAGACTCCCAACGGTACCGCCACTGCTGGCCCGAACAACGCCTACGGTGGATTCTACCCGAGCGGCTACGTCTCGCCCAATAACAACGGCGGTCCTCCCCCCGCATCTGGCCCTGGCCCCTACGGCGTCCCTCTCTTGGCCATGAGCATGCAGAACATGAACCTCAATGGCAACAACAACATGTACCCTGCTCAGAACTACGCTGGCTATGGCGCTCTGTACAACCCTCAGCCTCAGCCCCGTGATAGCCAGGCTCGTGTCATTCAACATCGACGCCAGATGGACAATGAAGGTAAGCTACATGATCAGTCTCATAATATGTACACATTACTGATATCTGCCTAGCCATGTCGCGCTACAACGGTCTCGCTCTTGAGAACGTTGGCGGCCAGATCTATGATCTTTGCAAGGACCAGCACGGCTGCCGCTATCTGCAAAAGAAGCTCGAGGAGCGCAACCCGGAGCAGGTCCACATGATCTGGCTGGAGACCAACCAGCACGTCATTGAACTCATGACTGATCCTTTTGGCAACTATCTTTGCCAGAAGCTGCTGGAGTACTGTAACGACGATGAGCGCACTGTGCTCATTCAGAACGCCGCCGTCGACATGGTTCGCATTGCCCTCAACCAGCACGGCACCCGTGCTCTTCAGAAGATGATTGAGTTTGTTACTACTCCGACCCAGATTGAGATGATCATCAACGCTCTTCGCTTTCAGGTCGTTGAGCTCATCCAGGACCTCAACGGCAACCATGTCATCCAGAAGTGTCTCAACAAGCTCAGCGCTCAGGATGCGCAGTTCATCTTCGACGCTGTCGGCACCAACTGCGTTGATGTTGGCACTCACCGTCACGGTTGCTGCGTTCTCCAGCGCTGCATTGACCACGCGTCTGGAGAGCAGAAGGTCTGGCTGATTGCCAAGATCACCGAGCATGCTCCAATTCTTGTGCAGGATCCCTTCGGCAACTACGTTGTCCAGTACATCATCGACCTGAACGAGCCCTCCTTCACCGAGCCGATTGTGCGTATGTTCCAGAACCGCATCGGCCAGCTCTCCCGCCACAAGTTCAGCTCCAACGTCATCGAGAAGTGCCTTCGTTGCTCCCAGGAGCCTTCTCGCGAGATGATCGTCGACGAGCTCCTGAACCCCGGCGAGATCGAGAGACTGCTCCGCGACTCATATGCCAACTACGTCATCCAGACCGCCCTCGAGTATGCTCCTCCTGCCAGCAAGTATCGCTTGGTGGATGCCATCCGCCCCATCCTGCCTTCCATTCGGTCCACTCCCTATGGTCGTCGCATTCAGGCCAAGATCCAGGCCTTTGAGGGACGTGGCAGTGCTACCTCGAGCGGTCAGGTTACTCCCGCGGATCCCACTCAAGGCCAGATTCCCCTGCGTCCGGGCCACAACCGCGCCATGTCTAACAACACCTCCATCATCGCCCCTGGCGGTGCCTTTGGCAATGGTCTGAATGGTGGTCTCAACGGCGGTAGTATGGCTCCTCGTGGCAACCAAGCCAACTACCCCACGACCAACAACGTCACTGTTCCGCCCCCCGCTCCCCAGAACCAGCGCGTTCAGCAGTTTGGCTACAATGGCCAGCAGCGCACCAACGGTGGTGCCGCCGCTGACGCCGCTGCAGGCGAGTCTCAGTGGCTGTAATTGTATTCGACGCGTTGTCGACCATTTCAGCCCGTTGAGATTCGGTTCCAATGGTACGACATGTTGCCCGGGCATTCGACAACGAACATAATGGTGGCATGATGCTTTCCGCGTAACGGTTTTCTTTCGACACAGCACGGCGGCTACGCAGCAACGACTTGACGATCTTTTTCCTTTCCCCTGTCTGTGCAAACACCACAAATCATCCTCCAACCAACATACAACAGCGCAATCCACCAAACCTCTTCATCCGTCGAGCACGGCGGTCCTTGCATCCGGTTGCAAGGCCTGCTTTGTGTGTACACTATGGATTCGGGCAGCGCATCAGTGTCCACCCTTCGGCATTTGCAGCGCAGACATAAGAATCGCATTCTGCTTCTCGGCAGCCGTCACCAGATCGGGCGGAGCCTTCAATAGGGCTTGTACTTGATTCGATGCCAACATCGACATAGACGAACGCTTTCCTTGCTTTCAGTTTCTTTTGTTTCTTCACCGCGATTTCTTACTTCCGTCACTTTTTTTTCATTCTCGACGCTCGTTCGCCAGGGTCAACTAGTGACCCTTGGCATCATGATTGGATCGGACTCACGACAACAACATTGGCATTATTCCTTTGACGATACGCCAGTCACGAAGCTGATCATGAGACGCGCAACGATTTCGGGAAGACTTGAGTTTCTTCCCTTACGAACGATGACATTTCGGTGTACTACGGGCCACCTTAGCCTTGCGAACCTCCACTCGAACGTTTCTACAACCCACGAAACGGTCCGACAAGATTATACAGGAGATACTTGACTGCGCACGCATTGCATAGGGGCCAACACTGAGACATGACAGCATCGGAGGCAGTTTTTTTTTTCTTTTCTTTTTTCTTTTTCCTCTTCTCGCATGCAGTTGGCACATCGTTTCGTCCTTTCAACCTGGACCACTCAGTATGACACCCAGACCTCTCATGGCTTATCTGAATTGGGAGAATACAACATCGATAAAACGGGGATATTCATCAAGAGCTCATGGGCTCTCATATTTTGGGGGGGTTTCTGGAGAGATTCGATTTGGCCTTCTGGAGATTGGAGAAGGTTTCTTGTGTGTGTAAGAGAACTCTAGGGATGAAAATTGGGCGTTACCTTTGCTTTTTCTGGCCGGCGGAGAACAAGACGTGTTTGGTGAGGCTCTTGGCTCGACTTGCTCTTATGCTTCTCAGCAAATGCCCACGACACACCCTCCGACCGCGCGCATGTAACTAGGCAGATAATTCGAGACAAAGATCTTGACTTTTAAGTTTTGCGGTGTTTCTTGACGTCTTCGTGATATGTGTTACCATGCTGACCACTAAGAAGGAGTTGTTGGTGTTACTAATTTTGGCTCGTATCTTGGAGTGAAAGCTCTCCTGAATGGTACGCTGATGCCCAGAAGCGCAATGTGCGACACAATCGAAGAGGGAGGCCTGCGATCGGATGGAGCATGTGAAGTGACCGAGAGTCGAAACAGCCGCTCCTGATTGGTCAAAGTCGGACCGTTCCCCCCCAAGAGCGCAAGTTCCAGAACGTTTGGTCCGGGTCGAGGTGGTCCCACACCAGTTCCCATTCACTGAGAGAGTCCAGGCGGGAGTGGGAAGTGAGTGAATGGAGGGGTTGCAGAGCGCTGACGGCGGGGCTGTGCTGGGTGCGGCGTTGCGGCAAACCTCGCGGTCGCCCTGGCTGGCAACCAATTAAAAAAAGAGTTCGAGGCCGAACCTCTGACCGCAATTTTTCCCTTTAAACCTTGCGTCGTTCAGCCTCTCTTTTTCCTCGTCTGACAACCGTCGTAAGCCCTCCATTTCACGTTCAACTGCGGAAACCACCCACGTCTGCGACTATTCGCAACCGTCTCCCGAGCTCGCACCTCGAATACTAGAAGATTCACCGCCTACCGTACATACGCCGAAAATGACCCGTGGCAACCAGCGCGACAAGGCCCGTGAGGCTGCTCAGAAGAAGGCTGCTTCTCAGGTGAGATTTCCCGTCTCGTTCTCCCCGTTCGGTTCACCACCCCCGGCGGCCATGGCAGCCTACGGGCAGGAAAACTATCAGCTCCTCATTTGGATATGCTGGACGTAGGGGATTCTGAGTGTACTGGCACCCCGAAAAAGGGGCCGCGTGCCCATGAGGCGTAAGGACTGATTGTGGTGGGGGCGGGGCAGTCGGTGTCAGCAGGTGCGAGAAAGGGAACTTATCGCGCAGATCGTTCGAATAACATCATTGAGGATTTGGACGAGCAAAGATGGCTGACAGATGTGAATTTTACAGAAGAAGGGAAACTCCATGAGCGGCACGGAGATGCAGCGTGCAAAGGAGTCTGCTGCTGAGATTATGCGGCAGAAGCAGGCCAACGGTGAGTCACTTCTCTTTTTTCTGTTCAAGTCGCTATTCCCACGACCGTCTCTCGACCTCGAGATAGCGTAAACGCAGGAGAAAAGGGGGGGGGGGGGGGGGGGACTCAGTGTCAGTTTTGACTGGCCGAGTCACTTTCACCTTTTCCTCCCCTTCTCGATGTGGTCTCGAAGGTGCCCTACCGGGGTTGATGGAAAGCCTTACTCTCGGGCAGTCACCATCGGTGGTGAGGGCTGTATGGGTAACGGAGATCAGGGTGGGAAAGACAGGAGTGACGAAGACTGAAACGAATCACTTCTATGGAGTATAGTATGCTGACGATGTAAATTATAGCTGAGGCCAAGAAGGCAGCAGAGGCAGCAGGAGGGTCGAAAAAGAAATAGAAGCAGCGCGAGAGAATAGAGGGTGGCGGCGGAGAGAGGCCATATTGGAATGGAATTTCTCTTTCTCCTCCATCTGTCTCACCTCTGGTCTTCGTCTTACGCTCGGGTTTTCAAGCTTCTCATGAATCTCCCTCTCACATGAAGGTAGACCAAACTAGTGAGATGAGACAGCAGATGTAGAGGAAGACAGGAGCAGGAGCAGAGGAGTATGGAATTTCTCAACGTCAGCCCCTTTGTCCAAAGCGCAGAAGGGAAGGAAGAAACTTATCAATGAACGGCGAAACGGAAATTCATAAACAGGGGGGTGTTTTTTTTCCCCCTTATACTGTAGTTAAAGCGATGGAGGTTGCATTCGTTCAGCATGGAGAGACGGCGTGAAATATCAGAACAAATGGAAATCTCAAATGACTTGCAACCAAAGAAGTACTCGGTCAATTGCAGAGAACGAAGTATGACGAACCGCGAGAGGGCCGCAGTTTCGTCAATTACTCGAACGATACAAAAACCGCTCTGCAGATAGAGACGAACAGACACATCTCCGGCAAGTCTTGCTAGTACTGGTAGACTGGTCTCTCTCGAGAGCAACCAGGCTCTCGGTAAATGAACTCGCATCCAAACCACTTCAAACGAATCCAAGGCCAAACGCCGCCGTCCGTTCACCACACATTCATCTCAACAATTCTCGACATCTCACTCTCTCTCTCCTCAGTCAAAGATCCTGCCTGACAAGCATACGAGTGACAGATGCACAGACACGGGCCTATCCCCCGTCAAAAACTTCCCGTGGATCGATCAGACATCCCAGACCTCGACTCGAGTTGACAGTGACGTGGTGCGGGATCACGAATGGCATAGTGAGGTGCATCAATTCCCGGGATGACGGGAACAGACACACGGCAGACACGCCTGATCGACTTCCACACACCCTTTCGGTCTTTCCTCTCAGGTCTCTCTCTGGTTTTTTATCGGCGCTTATCCGGCACACTGACGGTCGATCAAACCGGGTTGACCTCACGAGTCACGAGCCGGACCAGAAATTCCCCCGAGCCTGTCTTGCAAGTTGCCAAGCACTTTCTTAGGCGTTGGCTCTCCCCTCTCCCCTCCCACCCTGAGTCTTTATGATTCCTCTTACTAGCCGAATAATAGTAGTTTCGAATAGTCCAACTTTGAGCATCACGCGAAGAACAATGACGGAGAACACTGAAGCTGTGATCATTCATCATCCATTTATTTGATTCCTTATTAAGCGGTTGCGAACAAAAAAATGGTGTTTTTCCATCCAGGAAATACGAACCAGTCATACATCTGTAATTATCCCCTAAACCCTTCATCATCCCCATCGCCTCTTTTCCTTCCCTCCACAAGGGGAGCGGGCTCAACCCAAGCCGGAACACGTGGAAAAAGAGTACCTTCTACCCGCTCTTTTTATGTCTCCACAACCACCAAAGAGAAATCTACATGATGAAAAAAAAATGAAAAAAGAGAAAAAGGTCGTGATATGACGGGTTCCCCTAAAGGTGTGTATCGTGACAACAACTCCGGATATGTGGTATCGTTCCCAGCGGAGTGGGCAAAAACAAGTTCTCTTTTCCCAGAGGCGTAAATAAAAATGGGATTACTAAAGAAGGCGGATTACGTTCACCGTAAAGATGATTGGAACCGTAGTATCCTCTTTATGCCTCCATCATAGCCATGGGGAGAGATCCTGCCATGCCGCCGAAAGAGCCGACGCCTTGTGCTCCAACTGCGGGGAAAGATCCCGAAGAGCAGGTAACGGAGCACACGCAAGCACCGGCGCCGTTGATCTGTCCAGTGCCCTGCTGGATCTCGCCACCGGCAGCAGGGGCGGCAGGAGCAGCGGGGTTGGCGGCAGGGGGAGCGGCGGCGGGAGCAGAGGCCGCGGGGGCAGCGGGAGCAGCAGCGGGAGGAGTGCCTCCGGTGATGGCACCGCCGGCACCCTTGCCCTTCTGGGCAATGGCCATCGACTGGAACATGGCCTGAGTCTTAGCGGCGGTAGGGTTGATGGAGAAGGTCATGCCCTTTCCGCAGTGGTTGGCCTGAGCGCAGTAGAACCCTGGGAGCGCGTTTTAGTAAGAGTGAGAGGGTACACACAGGAGCAAGAGGACTTACACAAAGGCTCAGAGACCATGACTTGCATGGCAACCTGGGGAGGGGGGCTGACGGAGTTGTTGGGGTTGGCCATGAAGCCAGAGTTCATGCCACCAGCCAAGGGATCGCAGGGCGTCGCGAAGGCGGACTGGGTAGCAGTGTGGTTCTGGCTCATGAAGGTGAAGACAACCATGTCGCCGACGTTGGCCTTGATCTGATCGGGAACGAAGACGAGACCAGCGGCACCGCCAACCATGACCTGCGAGGGTGTTAGTGGTGACGATTTCGCTTACAGAGCTAAGCTCCAACTTGTGTTACTGACCTGGTGAGTCTGCTGAGCAGCCGGGGGCGCGGCCGGGGGAGCGGCGGGAGGAGCAGCGGGGGCGGCAGGAGGGGCGGCAGCGGGAGGGGCGGCTGCACCACCGGCGGGAGGGTTGATGTTGATCGTAGGGGCTCCGGCACCCGGGTTTGCCCAAATGATGATAACCTCGGTGACCTGGCTGTTGGAGACTCCGAACCCAGTCATGCCTGCGGGGAGGCCAGCGATCTGTCCAGCTTGAGCCTGTCCCTTTTCGCCCTTCTTGTGACCATCTCTACGGACGGGGTAGTGGTTGCGGACCGACTTGGCGGAGGCCATGACGGCGGCGGAGAGAGCTAACACTGCGGAGAACTTCATATTGACTGTTTAGATGTTGTCGTCGGTGTCGATTAGGGTGACCTTTTCTTTTCGTTTGTCGAGGATGATGCGACCTATAGTTGCCTCCTCTTTTCTCTTTTTGATTCTCTTCTCTGAAGATTTGGTAGTTGGCGAGACTGCTAGAGCCTGGCTAGAAAGTCGAAAGGGAATAAAAGGGTTTAGTTATAGCTGGATGGCTTTAATGGCGAGGGCCTGCTCGTGACGAAGAAGAGTGAACACGGAACCGAAAAGAGAACGAAAGTCACACAGGGAATGAGTGAAGACAGGCGGATGAAGAAGAGATGGGGGAGAAGAAACAGAAACCTCTCTGATGGCGAGGATGAGGGGGGAGGAGGAGAGCTTAAATCGAGCGAGACTCGGATAGCATGAGGAGCGCGAGCCACGTCGCATTATCGGTTCGTTATCCCATGTCATGGGCCAAGGTACTTTGAGTAGGATACTAGGAAAATACTCTACTGCGTGTGGTACGGAGTATGGTCATGGCAGGGCATGACATGGGACAGCCCCTTCCCGGCCGCAACATCGACCTCGACGAAACAGGACGAGAAAATCTTCCGCCAGCCCGTCCTTGGGACGTGTTGGAAAGGCACCAAGCACTTTGGACCCCGGTCATGCAAGCCAAGTGCAGCCAAGCAACGCCTCCGGGGGTCCTTCGTGTGCAGAAGGGGGGTGGGGGGAGGGGGGAGGGCGAGAGGCAAGGAGGATGGAGATAGAGCAGGGGTCTGGTGCGTGTAAGACGAGGTGTCTTCGGGCGGTTCGTTGCTCGGGGATGCAGCGTCCGATTAAGCACATGAAGCACAGGCCCACGGCGGCATTGCCATCCCAAGCTTGGAGCAAATTAAGAACAAAAAAGCCAAGACGAGATGGGTGGAGAGTGAGTGGTGGTACGAAGTGTCGTAGTAGGGGTAGTAAGGTTCAGGGTTGGGTGGAACAGGAACAGGAAGCAGGGGTGTCTATGTTGCGAACGGATGGATGACGGAGAGACGATAGACGACCTAAAGAGAGAGAGAGAGAGAGAGAGCGCGCTCAAGAGTGCCCAGCGCACGAACGGGAACGAGGAGACATAAGCAGGGATAGTAGAGACGACGATGATGCTGCCAACGGAGCCGCAGTCGTGCAGGTGAAGAGCTTGGTGTGCCATCAACAGGGAGGTGGGCTGTCTTGTCTCGTCTCGTAGCTGTCGTTGAGCATGGTGAAGTCACTTGACTAGGATGTTACTGGGTATAACGGATAGAATGAGTGAGTGAGCGAGTGCGAGTAACCTTGACTCCAGCCAGAAATCCCGCAGTGATCTATTAGCATGACTGTGTGATTAGTGAGTGAGGCCCTGTAATGTGGTGGTACACGGGAAGAATGGTCGGTGACTCGGGAGGCACTCGAGGAAGAGAATGGATGGAAAAGTCGGATGCCATGACAGCTCCAGCTTGGTTGAGACGGCACGCAGTTGCGCTAGCGCTGCGAAGGAGCAGTGTGCGGTCGAGGAGGCGGGAGCTGTGACAGAATCGTCTCGAGTCGTGTTTTGGCATCTCGCTAAGTGGCTCCCCCCCGGCCGATATTCCGAACACGGCACTCGCTCGGACCCTGGGCGATGGGACGTCTCTTTTTTGCATACAGAGAGTATCCGTACAGATGCCACAATTTGTGCTGGGCATGGTCTAGGAAAGGGGAGGCCTCTCGACAAAGTGAGTGAGAGTGTCATGAAATAGCGAATTTGTGACATTTGAATACCGAGAGGTTGATGATGTAAGGAAGGAATCGTGACAAGAAGAATGTACCTAATTGACCAAACAAAGTCCGAGATGTACTCCGTACCTTAGGTACCCTCCGTGCTTTCCAAGAAATGTCAACCAGATAAGGTAGAGAGATAGATTAACTGATCTCAGCAAGACCCTCCTTCCCCCATTGCACCAAACAAATTGCGAAGTAGAATTGCCCGATGTGCTTGTCACTTGTCATTGCCAATTTGGAAGGCTTGTCTCTTTCTTCCTTCCCCCGAGGTTCAGGTTCTTCATTAGATACCTACCTAACCTTACGCAAATTAACCCTCCCGCTGTCTTGGGGTGTGCTAAACCTTAATGCAGCCAATTAAGGTGGTTGGACCGTCGAATTGCCCCCTGACAAGACATTTTAGCTGCCGGAGCCACGGGATGGCGTCCCCACCTGCTCAACCCCTCGGTCTCCTTCCCTCCACTTTCCTCCCCCGTTTTCCACTTTTCCTTCCTCTTTCCTGCATCCCGAGTTGGCGAGTTCCTCATCTGCCACACCGTTCCTGCAGGTACCGAGACACAATACAACTCTACCCATCAACCTTATACCTTTTTTTTCTTATTCGTAAGGTACTCCCCCCGTGTTCCCTCTCCAGTGCCAGGCACGAATCCGTTTTTTTAGCGCTGCCACCCTCAAAATACGTATCTTTCTCCTTGAGTCTGGTGAGATGCAGTTGCTGGCATCTCATCAGGGTCAAGTTCCTATGTAGATAGAGATACTCGTTGAGTCGTTGCTGCTGGACATGTCAAATTCCGGGAACTAGGTCAAGCAGGTCCCATCGTCTTCACACGTGCCAAGGTACATTCCCCATTAGCATTGCCACTCCTGCCTTCTGGGTTCCTCAAGCCTCTCCGTACCTTTACCGTATGTACTAGGCAAGGTCGTATGCGGATATCGCTGTGAAATTTGCAACGCCATCATCCCGCACCATCTCGGTTTTCGGCTTCTTTGGCACCAGCCTAAGGCTCAAGCGGCCTTCTCCCCATCTGCCCGCAGTCCCGGCATGAGTCGGCACGGATAGCAAGGCATCGCAAGAACCAGGCGTGCCAGCGTCTCCAAGCACCTTGATGCTGGGCGTACAGCCGCCTCAAACAGCCAATGAAGACTTTGAAACAAGCCCCCTCTCCCTCTCCCCTCTTCCCCCTTTGCCTTGCTACCTTACCTACCTTATCCTCTTTTCATCGTGTCTTTTGGTCACGGGCAACTCTCCTCCCGGTCCACACTCCAAGACTTGTCCAAGACTTCTCTGTTGCAACTAGCAAGAGAGCCCACACACACTCACAGACATTCGGCCATTCAGATAGACACGGCCCAATCCAGTCTTGCCGTCATCCAGTCCTCCAACCAACTTTGCTCATCTCACCCGCCATTGTCAGTCGCCACACACTGCTACTGCTACGCCTACCTTACGACGGACCCTTACCACTCCTCCGTCCCATCCATGATCCCAACTTCCAAGACAACCACAAATACATCCATGTGCCCTGTTCTTGTCCAACGAGCATCGTGAACCATCCTAACCGACCGCTCCTACACTATCTGCTCCTATAGGACTTTGGTGCAACCATCAGCCTTGTCTTGACACAGGTCCACCGACAGCGCTAGACATCGGCTTATTCTCCTTCCAGCACTGCCATCATACCATCATCCCGTCATTTCTAGGTCCGAGTCGCAAGGAGACTGACTGTGCACAATACCGTCGATACACCACTTGGCGCAGCCTTCCTTCCGCCGGTACTTGTCATGTCAAGATCCATCTCCGGGTGCGGCCTGCCTGTGGTACTGCTTGCTGCTAAGTGGCTCGGTCAGCCTGACGTACGTATACAGCGCATCGCCAGCCTGCTCGGGCATGGGCCGAAAGAAGGCATCGGCCTCCTGTCAAGTCCAACCTAATCCTATCCGTCGTACCCGCGCCGTGTTATCCACTGCATCGCTCATTTCGGGATGGACGTCCGTCTTTTGCAACATGACTCCGGTCCGGAGGATCTCCACGCTCATTGTGTAAACCTTCTGGATAGAGCGGCTCAGGAAAGCGCCATCCTGTCATGAACAATTGGCGCACCAAGCACATGCAGATTCTCGAGCAACACTTCACCGACAGGGGAAACAAATTGGCCGGAAGTCGGCCCATGATAATATATACGGATACGCGAGTCCAGTCTGAAAATACCCGGATGGGTCTTGACTCTTGAATTATCGAGGCCATGGATCGCTGGAACATTGCAACTCCACGTTTCCATCCAATACCTTTCGACTTGTTTCCGATCGCAACCCTACAGAGAGTCATCTCAACTAAATTCCCTTGGGCCGCCTTCATCATACCCAAGACCTCTTGGCCGGCCTGCACTAAGGAGTGTCATCTCTTGTATACCCGCCCGCGGCGTGGCGGCCTTGCTAGGAATCTCTCTGTTCAGAGACTGGTCTGGTCGCCGCACATTGCCTTGTTATCCGCCCAAGCTGCATCTGCGCGATGACGATTAAAAATAAGAAAAGCCTTGACACGCATTTTGCTGGGGCGTTGCCTCTCGGGGCGAAAGGAGAGAAACAACCAAGCCTAGACCCTTCCACGGTGAAACAAAACGAACTCTTGGATAGCCGACATGATTACACTAGCTTTTTTTTCCCCCCTTCCTGCCGCAGTCATGATAGGTTTTATTGGGCCCGCCAGGCCAAGTTCGCCCGACCCCGACTTGGACCGCATCCTAAATTCCCCCGTCCCAAGAGCCAAGCAGACAACTTGAAAGAAAAGACGAATCAAGAGGCTGCTGATTGAAGAGGTTGCTGCTCCTGTCGTTCGTGTGACACATGCCACGCGAACCTCAGACATGGAACGGTGTGGCGCCGTTGCATCATCGGACGATGGAACAGATCGTGTTACAGAACTCGCCCTCCCGCACGTCGATCAGATAAACTCTCTGGTAGCCGCTTTCCAGGACGACCAACCTCACCCCATTCCCCACACAACCTTGCATTTTGTATGTCCCAGCTGGCCAGGCTCAAGGGGTCTGCTCAGCCTCGTCGTCGCACTTGCAGCCGCTCTCTCGCTGGGTATCGATTGGCTCACACTATCTACTTTGGGCATCTGTCTGGTCCCGGCTGTTGCTGCTGCTGCTGCTGCTGCTGCTGTTGTTGCTGGCCTTCGTACAATCCCGTGTAGTAGCCAGCATAGTACCATGACATCAAAAGTCTCTTCAAACCCTCGTCTTGCACTACAAACCCCGAAGAAAGGGGGGCCCTCAGTCAGTCCTGTGTCCAAGTTCAAAAGAGGCTACTCTGCAACTGCCGTCCCAACTCTGGATAGTCCAGGATCGTTTACATACCTGATCCGAGAAGACTCTGCGGGCCCATTGTCGCAGGCCCTGGGGGGCCATTGGTCTTTGCCATAGGCACACCTGTTGAATCTGCCTGGTCCTGGACCTAGATCGGGGGCGAGCAAGGAAGACGTTAGCGGAAGCGAACAAGATAGAGATTTGCTGCATAACGACGAGGTAGAGAACAGAGAAAGCCAAGCTTTTTTGATCTGCCTGGATTTTCGTCTGGGGAGGGGGTTTATCATTGGGGGGTGTTTTACATCCGTGCTGCTCAACCCCTTTGTTTTGTCGGCTCTCTCTGCAGCATCATCCGCGATCTCTGGCTGATCGACGGCCTGCGTTTGCGCGTCGTCGGCGGTCCTGTGTAGATCATTAACGTGTCAGAGTCTCGGGACAAGATTTCTTGGGTCTTGGGGGTGATTAAAGAAAGAAGGCTTAGCCGTACTGGGTATCTTCCGTCTTCTCCTGGAGATCAAGGTCTTTGAGCTTGCCTCCCTTGGCGTGGATGCTGTGATACTTCTGCAAGGTTGGTCAGCGACTGACTACTCTACTTCCACGAGCATTGCATTTCTCTTCCACGAGCATTGCATTTCTCTTCCCCTCCTCCCCTCCTCTGATGAGATTGGATCTGTTGCTTACTCTGTACTCGTCCAGGGCCTCGTTCCATGACTCTATCAACGCAGAGTCGTCCCACATCTCACCGTGCGACATTTCCACATCGTTGCCGGCCATGTTGCTGAATCGGGGCGAGCTCTCCTGAAGACAACGGCGTTTCTATTGACGATAAGGGCACCTATGAGGGCAGTCTGCTATGAGTAAGCCCCCTCTGTTCTTACTGACTGTAAAGTTGGCGCCAGAGGTATGGACGGTGTTGCTTCTTGATGAGTTTGGGCCGACCAGGGGAAATTTGCGCCGGAAGACTGGCCCTCCTCAGTTAAGCTCGTGGAGGTGAAAAGTCCTGATGGGTCCCTGGTGAGATATGTCGAGTTTTGTGATGCGTTTTTGGCGATATGGCAAGTGAAAACTGTTGTGATTGCCGTGGGTTGAAATGTTCTCTCTTAATTGTCGACTCGATTGCGGTGAAAAGGCAGTTGGGTGGCGTTCTTGTGGAGTCGTCGAGACAAAGTCGTTCTGATTGTAAGATGGCAAGATGATATTGCCGTTCTTTCACATGAGATCCCAGCCTGAGGTTTGTGAGAGGTACTAGCTGTGCATCAACCTCATTGACGGATTTCCAGTCCTTGGGCGTTGGGTTCCTTTCAGGGAACTAAAGGCAACCTCAGCTCCCCTGGTAAAGAGTAGATAGGTGCTGCAACACCGCTCAAGGACGGCACTACAGGCGCTCATGCAGTATAAATGTACCCACTAAAAAGTCGTTCTCGGGGCAGCTGGAAACACGCGCTGAGCGGGTTTAGCGGGGTCGCATGGCCTCACCGCCTCCACCTCGGGACGGCAGAATCTTGGAAATTTTTATTTTTTTTGCCTTTGCGACGGTACTCGATCAAGGCGTGTGGGTACAGGCTCGGTTTTCCAGGGACTTTGTCTAACCATTGCTCCCTCAAACACATCAGCAAGAATGGCCCCCGAACTGAGAAAAAGAACCAGATGTAAGTTGCCAAGCTGTAAAAGACCGTTCCTTGTTTTTTTAAAACTAATATTTGTTGTCAGCCGTCACTGGCAAGGAGCCTGTGGCGAAGAAGGCGGCCAAGGTCGAAAAGGTTGAAAAGGTTGAGCCTGCGACCGAAAAGGCGCCCAAGAAGGTGACCAAGAAGGCCACCAAGGAGGAGAAGGTCGAGAAAGCTCCCAAGCGCAAAGGTGTGTCCCGATTGGGTTCTAACGATGTTGCATTGGCTTACCACCATGCTCCCGAGCAGCTCCCGAGGAGGCGCAAGCTTCTCCCGTCGCGGCGAAGAAGCAGAAGCCCGTCAAGGCGAACGCGAAGTCGAAGAAGTCTGCCGCCCCCGCGCCCGCCGAGCCCGTCGAGGAGGAAGAGAAGGAGAAGGAGGCTGAGCCCGAAGCCACCGAGGATGCCGAGACCTCTGTCGTAGCGTTCGAGGAGGAGGAGGCCGATGAGGAGGTCGACGCTGACATTGCCGCCCTCGCCGCCGGCCTGGACCCGGAGGACGCGCCAGCCGGCGACGGCACCGTCTTCAAGTCGGGCCAGGACGTGGGCAAGGTGCCCAAGTTCAAGAAGCAGAAGCAGTTGACAAACGGCAAAAAGGAAGAGCCCGGCGTGGTCTTCATCTCCAGGCTGCCCCACGGCTTCTACGAGCACGAGCTCAAGGGCTACTTTTCACAGTTTGGCAACATCACCCGCCTCCGGCTGGCGCGCAACAAGAAATCCGGCGCGAGCAAGCACTACGCCTTTCTCGAGTTCGCCGAGGCCAGCACGGCCGAGATCGTGGCCAAGACCATGGACAGCTACCTGCTGTTCGGCCACATTCTCAAGGTGAAGACGGTGCCGGCGGACCAGCTGCACGAGGACGTGTGGAAGGGCGCCAACAAGCGCTTCAAGAAGATCCCCTGGCACAAGATCGCCGCCGGCGAGGTGGCCAAGCAGAGGACCGAGTCCGACTGGACGCACAAGGTGTCCAAGGAGGAGAAGAAGAGGCTGGAGCGCGCCGAGAAGCTCAAGGCTATCGGGTACGAGTTTGAGGCGCCCAAGTTGAAGGAGGCTGTTGCGCCGCCGCCTGAGCCCATGGCTGTCGACGCGCCTGAGGAGACCAAGGCTATCGAGGCTGCGCCGGTTGAGGAGGAGAAGAAGGAGGAGGCTGCCAAGGAGGAGGAGGAGGGGAAGGTTGCCGAGGTTGAGACGCCCAAGTCTGCGAAGAAGGCGACGCCCAAGGGCGGCAAGAGGAGAAAGTCCAGGGGTTAAAGAGAGGCTCTTTTTCAATGATATCCCTCGTCACGACGGAACTGTTTCTCTCCATCTCTTGGGGTTTCACAAAAAGTCTTGTGTTTTTTCTGTTGTTTGGCATCAGGTATTCTACTCGTGTTTCTGTCGCTCAGGAGTCGTTGCGTCAAGAACACACAATGGGACATAATTCAATGGGTTCAAGTTAGTATGTGCGCACATAGCGAACCCGTCGCACCCATTTCAACCCAAAAAGTTGGGGGCAAGCACCGGGATTATAAAAGGCGTTTAAATCACTCTACTTCAGCGTCAAAAATGAACAAGTCATTGGGGAAAATGCGCTTGCTCTAGTGATATTTCAGCGAAGGGTAAAATATGTGAAGAAGGAAAGAGGAAACGGGAAAATTTCCGTCAGACGGAGACGCTTCTTGAAGGCTTTGGGCGATAAGATAAGAATGACTAAGCGAGGGGCCCGCTATCTGCCCACCTCAGTCCCATGGTCGTGAACCGTGGAGGACGGACTTGCGCCAGCCGATACAGAGGTGCACTTTGTACGAGAAACAAACAAGCTGTTTGAGGTGTCTTAAACAAGGAAAGATGCCACATTGAATTCTTGTCATGACACTCTGAATCCTAGGCATTGCTTTATACAAGAGTCACCCAAAATTGTTTGACACTAGCAGGTCGAGCCACAGAAAGTGCAAGCCTCAAAGTGTGGCTCGTGTTAGTCAGTTGACCACCTGCTAGGGCCACCGTTTCATGTATCGATTCTGTGCTCACAGCAAACCGTGAAATCCAGAATGAAAACTGCAGGTTTCTTGTCCATATCATAAGACTGAGAACAGGATAGAGTCCGAATAGCTCAATGAAAAATACATGACTCTCTAGGATAAAAACCACGATTGTGTTTACGATGACAATGTTCACGTCCTGGCTCGACTGGATGGTTCCCAGCGTTTAAGCGCCGTGTCCACCAGGCCTTAGCTAATACACCTCGCTATCGGTACCTTTCTGTGGAGCTCAGTGGCCACCTACCTAGTGTGGGGGACGGGGGAGCAGCACCCTAGGTTCCGCGTGGGAAGTGAACACGCTCGCTAATTTGCGAACCTAGCTTACGTGGTGTAAGTACATGCAAGCCCGCCCAGGTGCAAACTGTCGACATCCCAATTCCCAACCGACCGGACCCTCGAGAAAGAAGAAGAAAAAGAGCTTCCCCCGTTCCCGCGCCCACCAGCTCAAAGGGCTATCCACACCATCCCGATGCATCTGAGAAGACAACATGTCGGCCGCCGCTCCCTCCACTGATCCGGTTCAAAACGCATCTTCAGGTTCGTGACCCCGATTGAATCCTTCCCGCGTCTACGTTGATGCGCGGCCCCAAGCTAACGGGGGACTTTGCAGGGAAGAAGAAGAGCGGCAAGAAGAAGAAGAACAACGCCAACAAGCCCAAGGAACCCATAGACACAGACAGCGCGCCTCCTCCGTCCGAAAATGCAGAGTATGGCGATGATGAGCCGGAAACCCCGGTGCAGGTGATACTCCCTTGATCCCCCCGCAAAGCCCAGCTTAGCTGACTGCCATCTTAGGCTTCCGCGCCGATAGAAGAATCCAGCCCCGAACAGTCAACGGGTAAAGACACAACAGCCAATGGCCACACGGAGCGGCCGACGAGCAACGGACATGCGAATCCCCCGATAGAGGCGGCCGCAGAGGAGCAGGGAACCAACCCCGATGCCACGGCAAAGCTGGACGCCCTCACAAAGGAACGAGAGGCGCTGCGATCAGAGGTCGAGCAATTAAGGAAGCAGCTGGAGACCATTCAGGGAACACACAACGAGACCGTCACCCAGCTCAAGTCGGAACTAGAGGAGACGTCGTCGGCCAAGGAACAGGCAGAAGAGAGCTACCAGGGTCTCCTCGAGCGAGTCAACCACCTCAAGTCGACGCTCGGCGAAAGACTGAAGCGCGATCGCGCCGAGCTGGAAGAGGCCAAGGAGCGCATCGAGGAGCTCGAGTCCCAGAACGAGGAGCTGCAGAATGGCGCCAAGGCATCCGAGGAAGAGGTGGCGAAGCTCCGGGATGAGCTGCAGGACACATCGCGCGAGGCGACAAGTCTGCGCAGCCGAAGCAATCTGTCCCAGCAGAACTGGGTCAAGGAGCGCGAGGAGCTTATGAGGCTGGTCGCCAACCTCAAAGAGGAAGTTGAGACGACGACGAACGCCATGGGCGAGTGGGAGGTCATCGCCATGGAGGAGCGATCCGTCAAGGAGAGCCTGGTCGAGAAGGTGACGGAGCTGGAGGAGCAGATTGCCGGCCTCCGTGACGGCTACGAGAGCGCCGCGTCCGAGCGAGATCAGCAATCGCAGGTCATTGACAACTTGCAAAAGGCCCTTCGCGAAATCCAGGATGCGCGGAAGAAGGAGCTGCGGGAGATGGTTGAGACGTCAGAAGAGCAGCTGCAAGCCATGAAGAAGCTTGTGCAAGAGGCGGACACCAGGGCTACCGAGGCCGAATCGGCCAAGGAAACCCTCACCAAGGAGCTCGAGCGCACAGCGCCATTCGAAAAGGAGGTCAAGGAGAAGAACCTCTTGATTGGCAAGCTGCGGCATGAGGCCATTGTGCTCAATGACCATCTCACCAAGGCTCTCCGTTACCTGAAGAAGACGAAACCAGAGGACAACGTTGATAGGTACTGTGACCTCTCTTTGCACCACGGGCCTCAACCGCAGACCAACTAACACACCCCCTTAGACAAGTCGTGACGAATCATCTCCTTCACTTCCTCACTATCGACCGCTCCGATCCCAAGCGCTTCCAGATCCTGCAGGTCATGGCCGGCTACCTCAATTGGACGGACGAGCAGCGCGAGCAGGCCGGGCTCGCCAGGCCGGGCGCGTCGAGCAGCATACTCCGCTTGCCGGCCTCCCCCTTCCACCGCACGCCCAGCACCCCGTCGCTGAGCGCCGAGTTCTTTTCCGAGACGCCCACCTCGGCGAACAAGGAGTCCCTCGCGGACCTGTGGGCGGGCTTCCTAGAGCGCAGCGCCGAGGAGGGCCTGGATCAGGGCTCGTCGGCGGGGACACCGCGCGATCGCAAGGACAGCGGGAGTAGCGCGGCGACGGGACGGGGCGGCAGCTAGTGGAGGTCGTCGTGGACCGGGTAAGATTTAGTCATGGGGAGAAGAGGTGCAGAGGCGTAGAGGTGGTAAGCCCCCCGGATGTATTCATTTCTGCCAGCCTCCAGAGCATAGGGGTGTGTAAAGACCATTATCATTGGGTACCTCTCCTGGGAAGGGTGGACGTGTGTGTGTGCGTGTGTGTAGTCGACCCTTCACCGCACTTGCCCAAACAAAACTACAAACAAGTCATAGATATGAGGACCATTAAAGACAAAAAAGAGTTCACCACCGGTGTGGCTACATCTCTTGGTGCTCATGCTGGGATTCGAACTCGGGGTACTCTCGCTAAGCCTGTCGTCGAGTAGGCTGGTTGCTGTATAAATCGATTGTTGACCATGAACCACTCCGCCACCCAGCCAGTTTGACCTGACCCGTCGACCTAGACGGGCGCCTGCTGGCTGGTGATGGGAATGGAGTCCGGGGGGGTATATGAAGGTTTGCTCTGTGTGGTTATTCGGGTTTGTGTATTCAGGTGGCGGGGGAAGGGTTATCGGGTGAACGTTTGGTAAAGAGTGTATAAGGTAACTACGGCGCGGCGAGTGCCAGCTCTGTCTGCTTTCTTTCTGGCCATACCTGCTCCATCTTAGGGATTTTGTTCTTTTTCCTGGCAGAGTAAGAGGGCCTGGTGTTACTACGGCACGAGACGATTGGAATCAAGGTTACGATGGGATAAGGTAATCGAGGCACAAGAAGGGATAAGTTGGGAACATGGGCTCATAGAATTACTCTGCGATGGATGACTGGCCCTGGAGACGTATCAGACACCAACATTACTTCTCTTCTGGTTCACGCAAAGCTCATCGCGTCCAGACCCATCCATAATTATATGCTTCTTTCTTATTCTCTACATAAGATGCTGCAGTGGCTATCTATACACCACCACGCATCAACTCTGAAACTTCCAGAAGGTCAAGAAGACACACCACGCCGCTCATTGCGCAGTGCCTTCCGGCTGTCGAAACACCCCGTCGGTATAACTCTCAGCATCGCTCGTGACCTGCTGTATATTGATCCTATTCTCCAGCGCATCATTCACACTCTCGACAACCTCCCTCTCCTCCATGGCATCGCGCACCATCTGGCCCTCGCGCAACCAATACGCCTGACTCCGCGCCCGCAGCTCCTCGTCGCGCATCGACGTATTCTTGACGATACCCAGGGCGTTCAGCTTGCTCTTGACCGTCGTCAGGGCGCGGTTGCTCGCCTCGATGCGCTCCGCTTCCGAAGGCGGCAGGACGAAAGCGCGGCGGGTGCCAGAGAGGAACAGGAGAGCGCCGATGCCGACGTCGAGGGCCGCGAGGGCGATGTAGCGCAGCGCGCGAGCGCGCCAGTAGAAGAAGTCCATGTCCTGGAGGCGGAGGGCCGCGGCGTTAGCAGAGTAGTCGTACTGGCCTACGAGGACGGCGTCTGCTGCGGCGAGGGCGGCGGCGGCCATTGTGGCGTGGGAGCGCCAGCGAGCACCATCGCGGCCGGTGAAGGTGGAGGAGGTGACGGCGGCGAGGGCGATGAGGTTGACGAGATGGGGGAGGATGATGGCGGGAAGCGCGTAGTAAAAGTAGGACTTGGGGTCCTCGGACTTGCAAAAGGGGCAGTCTGCGAGGGCGGCGGGGCCGAGCTGGAGGTAGAGGAGGCGGGACTCGAGGTTGACGAAGCGGGCGCGGAGGCGCTCGTCGGCAGCGGTGAGGGCGGATTCCGGGCGAAGGGAGGACAGGCGGTTGAAGAGGACGTCGACGGGGATCTGGAGGCGGGACTGGGTGAGAGTGAATAGGTTCTCCGGGGCCAGGGGCGGGAGGGTCTTGACGAGGTAGACGATTACGATGATGGTGAGGATGGCGAGGGCGCGGGCTATGCGGGGCGGAGGTGGGATCGGTTCGCCGCTGTGTTGGGAGGCATTGCGAATAGATTTGTAGGCTGAGATTGCCTTGGGAAGGAGGATCGGACCGAAGACGAGAAGTAGAGAGCGGATTCTGCAGTTGTGGTAGTTGTGCTATTAGTTTTAATCCTCCTGACGAGCATTGGTGGTGATGTCGCGAATTTGGCGATGATGTAGTTTGGGGTATGGGGTACGTGAGAGCGGAGGGAGGGACATGTGGCTACTTACTCTGACCAGCCAAATGCCATGACGGGCCAACGACGGCGGCGACTTGCTTTCGAGCAAGCGCTTTTACGTGATGCGTCCAAGTACCAAGTCGGGGGAGCTTCTCGAGAAAGAGAAAAAGAAGTCGAGAATTTCCGTACCTTACTTGGAGCTCGAGGCTGACAAGTGTTCTTTTTTTGGAGGTTGATAGTTTGAGGACGGGGTCAGCGCGTAAGGCTGCACCGAGGCCACGGTATGAGAGGGAAAAGATGAGTTAACTTTCTGCCAAGAGCTGATCTGGCTTACCTAAGGTGAGATTTTCTAGGCGACAGAAGTTAGGAGCGCATCCCGGTGCAGGGGTATGCTGACCTTGAGGGTTCGCTGTGACGGCACGATGATGTAGCCACTGCAGGTACGCTGAGAGCTTCTTGATTTCCAGCCATTGTTTACTGCGACAGGAATGGCTATAGCAACCCGACATCGTAGGAGAACAAGGCCTCAAAAATCACCACTAGGTTCCATTTATCAAACAGAAACATTGGGTTCAACTTAGCATAAAGATTAGATATTATGCTATTCGTTTCAATAACGTACATCAAAGCCAAGTCATTGATCGTCGCTGATGCTGTTTTCTTGCTTGCAGAGGCCGTCAAAAGCTGCTTCTTTTCCACCCATCTTTTTTGGCCTTTTTTAGCCCGCCACAGCTCCGAGTATCATTGACCATTTCCCGCCCCGAAAATCAAATGCACTTTTTTGGTTTTGGTATCCCGACTCCGTACGATGATGAATGATGAAAGAGGAGAGAAGAGAGAAGAAAGGAAAAGAAAACTGAGAAGAAAATAGAAACAACAAAAACCAAGGCCAAGGCTAAGGCGAGGGAATCAAATGCTGATGATGCTGGTCGCTTGTTTTTCGGTCGATGCATTCAAATGCAGATGCTTTCTCTTTCCCTTTTCTCCCATTTCGATTTCCCATGCGATTTTGCGATGTGCATGTGATTCATAGCTTGCGTCCAAACATAAAGGACCCGTACATACCGCCGACTTCGGCGCGCGCGACCGGGATCTTGCGCATGCCCCAGTTGTCGGCGCCAATCTTCCACCACCGGTAGCCGCGGTCCTGGTCCTTGCGGTGGTCCTGCATTCGGACCATCCAGCATCGGCTTCCGATCTCCTGCAGGGACCAGCCGACGCGCTCCAGTGCCCTATTCCGAGATAGGCTCTTGAAAGATTGCTCCGAGATCTCAACCACCTCGAGTGGCACCGAGCTCGGTTTTAGCAGCGAGTTTCGGCTCGAAAACAAATCCACAATATCCAACTCGCTGCCCCAGAGGTCCGAAAGGTCCAGGTATCGGATTGTGTGGGGCTCCTCCTGCTTCTTCTCGTCCGCCGGCTCAAGCAGCTTAGCGGCGGCATTGACGTCCATGTCGCGCCCGACGGCGAGCTCCTCCAAATACTTGGTCAGAGGTCGGAGTAATTCAAGGTGCGAGTCATCCATGCGGCTACCCTTTAGGCTCAAAGACCGAAGCGTCTTGGGCAGCACAGGGATGAGCTGCGAAACGTCCTCCACATCCAGAAGTTGGTGACTCCGAGCATCGGTAGCCACGCTCAGGTAGACGAGGTTCCTGACCGCCGGATGAGTCGCAAGGAAGTTGATAACGGTGGGAGCCGTGAGCAGTGTGCACTTGGCGAGGTTCAAGTGGGTAATCTTGGCCGTCTTCGGGATGGCCTGCAGCGCTCGGTCGGTGATCTTGGTCTGGGCAAGGTCCAGGTGCGTGACGTTGGTGAGGCGTGGCATGATCTTCTCGAAAAGCGCGGGAGGGAGCGTCAGGCACTTGTGAAGTGAGAGGCGAGTAATCGAAAGCGTCTCGGGCCAGTCCATGTCTACCAGAGATGCAAAAGAGTTCTTGAAAGACGGTGATGTGCACCCGGCGAAGTCCAAAGCCTGCAGGCGAGGCATGCCGAAGAAGAGCTTCTGCATCACCTCAGCGCCGAGGTCATCGTCAATATGCTCCATAGCCAGGAACTCTTGGAGGTGCGGTGTAAGCTCCAAGCATTGTAATAATGTCTCCTCCGTCAGGTTCCGCGTGCCCTTGCGCTCGCTGGCAGACTCGAAAAGAGTCGCGTTATTGAAGTGGCTGAAGTCGATGCGCCGTACAATGGTGCCTAGTGCAGGGTGTGTTGTGATGTTGGACAGGAACTTGCGGAAGATTCTCGAGTGAGGAATGGTAATGTGCTTGTACAGGGTGTTGAGGGTTGCGGCGTGCACCGATCTCGAGGTCAGAAGCAAGGACATCAAGTCGACATTGCGGCGCGCAGTGCCGTACGGCGGAGGGATGTCAAGGACCAGGAGCTCGATAATGGATCCTTTGATATTGTCAGCTTCGCGAGTTTCCATGATAAAAGACCGTGAACGTACCTAGAATCTCCAATGGCAGTCTCTCCATGGGCGCGCGGCAGTTGGTAGGCTTGTTGCCCTTGGGTGAAGGAGGAGGAGTGCTCCATGACATGTGCAGTGCCTGGAGGTCACTGAAGCTCTTGCTAGCCGTCTTGCCCTTGACATTGATTTGCTTCCAGCCCTTGAAGCTGGAAGCAGGATACCAGCCGCCATGAAGTCTGCTGCTGGGGTGGGTGACGGGGGGCATGAACTGAACTTCAGCCATCTCGAGGGAAGGTGAGGCGATCGGCGAGGGTGAGGCAGAGGAGTCGTCGAACACGGCGTTGGTTGCTTTCTGTGCGTAGGAAGAGACTTTTGAGGAAGTGAACGTCTGGGCTAAGTCGGAGTCGTTCTCGCGAATGGACGAGAAAGAGGATCTGCCATTCTTTTCCGGGGTAGCAGGTCGGTGCGGCTCTGGGCTGTCCATTTTGTATTCGACGAGAGTCTGAGTGTGGTTGTGGCCTGTCGGAGGAGTGCCTGGGGGGGTGTGTAAGGTGTGGTCCTGGGACGAGGTTTGCGGTTGGAGAAGTCGCGGAGAAGCCATGGCTGCAGGAACTTTACTTTGACCTTGAAGGTCCGGGTCGCTGCGCTCGTTGTTTCAATGGTTTGCTCGACACACCACCAAACGCACACACGTTTTCTCCACTGTCTTGGTTTTTTTCTTTCCCTTTCTTTCTGAACAAGCCGGGGTAAGGTAGAAAGAGACTAGTCGTATGGCAAAGCGTAAAAAAATGTGTGAGCTGCAATGTAGGAAAGACGAGACCGGGGGCCCGGGTCCGTCGACAGAGCAAGCCAGAAGCGACTTTTCTATTAGTCAAAGACCGGGGCTTTTAGGTAAGAGGAAGTTATGGTGATGCGGGGAAGATGGTGGTTTGGCGTGTTCAGGTGGTCCAACCTCAACCGTTTGTGATGTTACTAGACCAAGACCAGGGAACGTTGGAACTTGGGGAAAGGAGTCGAGACGAGGGGGTGAAGGGAGTGCGTGGCACAAGACAAGACGTGCTCTTCGCAATCGTTGAGGTGATGTTGGTGTGGGAAAGGGAGAGGGAAGTAGATACTCTATGTATAAGGGTGTATACGGGGCGTGAGAATCAAGAGACAGGGGCGGATTGGGATAGAGTCATCCAACGGATCGCGTCTGGGCTGGATTAGGATCAGGATATCGGGTTGGATGGGCTGGGTTTAGGTCCTTGGGAGTTTGGGACTGGGCGTGTACTTCGTACAGTAAGGTAACCAGTATCGCAAGAGGCAGGTTGGGGTTGAGGATGTCTCGTTAATGTCATGCGGAATAGTGGCTTGCACTGGGCGTTAGTAGCCGGGCGTGTGTGTGTGAGTGTGAGCGGCCCGCAGATTAATATAGCAAGTTGAAGAGGCAAAGGGTTGCTCTTGGCCAAAAATTGGGTAATGGAAACAAAGGAATGGAGACTTGCCTCGTCACATGAGCATCCAGAGCTTCATCCAAATGGAGGCGGAGCCTTGTCCGTACATGACACGGCGCGGTACGGCAGTACTGGCGTGCCGCCCCCAGGTGACATGCTTTGCTTCCTCGTGCTCACGGACGGTAGACGATGTCCGTCGGGTATGGTAGTCCATGTCAAGGTCCATGGTCCAGGGACATGAACCGGTCAAACAACACCAGGTCCGGATGGGAAAATAGAACGAATGGGCTGGCGAAGGAGAAAAAATGCTGGCGACACGAAGCAGGCTGGCAACCAACCATTGGACGGGTATTTGGTAATGAGAATGTCATGGGTGTGTCGGGTTGAGCCAGTAGGCAATGAGCTGAAGCATAACATCATTGCTCAGGTTTGTTCAGTCATTAAACGAATGCGCAAGATGTGTCAAGGAATGGTCGTCTTCCGCACTTGTCCAACCTTGCCCCGGACAGGCCGTTGTCTGACTGGATGTAGCCATAGCCATTGCGGGTTGCGAAGATGGTAACTCGATAAGCAGGCAGGGTGATGTAAAGGTCAGGCAACGGAGTTGAATTGACTACAGCGAGCCGCGACCATAGCGCACGGAAGATGAGCGGCTGGCAAGGCAAAGTCGGTCGATGGTGGTCGGTCATTCGGTCCCGCTAGAAAGATAGAAAAAAAGAAGAGAAAAAAAACCCAGAGAAAAGATCGGGGCCCAGAACCGAGTCCAAGGGAACATGGATGATGGTTCGGGATTCGTAGAAAAAAAAAAAAAAAGGGACGATCCAATTCCACATCAGAAAAGGACGGGGAAGAGACTGGGAGAAGTGTGAGCGTGACTGTATGACAGCACACGCTGGGGCCGGGAGCTGCGCAGAGCTGAGAGAGCCGGGTCACGTCTGGGAGCTGAACTGGCTGCGTGGTTGTGTAATTGAAAAGCTTGGCTTGGGGAAGTGATCAGATGAGGCGAAGAAGTGCGGTTCGGAAACGTAATGGATACAATTGTCGACTAATGGAAACTGGGAAAACTTTTTAGAATGACTCCAATGCTCTCCAATGCTTCCCAATGCTCGCTCTCAAAAAGTCGAGTCACGCAAGTACCCTAGAGGACGTCAGATTACCTAAGCCCAGACTTTGCAGAAAGTACCTGCCTTGCCCTCCACTCCTTCTATTCCTGAATCCTGTGTGCCTGCTGCCCTGCTCGCATTTTGATGCAGCGTTACATTGCCTTTGGGGACGTACCTTACGGTACGAAGTACCTCACTCTGTACCGCAGCGCAACCTCTCTAGGTGCATAAGAATAAAAGCAAATCGACAACGACATCCAAATCCAAGACACCTCTTGCAGCAAACGCAGCCTCTTGCGCCAGAGATCGTCGACGACAAGACTTGATCTCCGGTAAGATGAGGAAATCTCACTCCCAGACACGCACACCGTTACCCTCACACAGTGACACAGAGTCACGCCAGGAAAGAGCATCTCCTCGGCTCGGCATTTCCAGGCTCTAAGGAGCGCGGTGCCAGCGGCGCTCCATCTCAAACACCGAGAGAGCCCGCTAACATTCCATCTCTGTCACTGTGAGCTTTGGTGTTTGCGATGTCGCTGACTACGTAGTGAAATCGACGACAAAGCCGACAGAAGACCGGTACCGCACCCGAGACGGCCGTTCCGGTTGTCGGATGGTCGCCCGATCGGAACCACACAACGACCACGCACCTCTGACCAAAGGGAAAACGACAACCACGAATTTCTGTCCAGTTCCCCAGCAATCCGGATAGACAGGTACAGACAGGAGTGCTTGGCATTTCAAAACCGTTCTTCGACCGGATACGGACGGGATGCTCCAGGGCCACCTCATCAATCGGTCATCTGACCTTTCACTGCCGGAACGAAGCGAGCAGAACAGAAAATCGGGCTGTGCGCCAAAGCGAGCACGCGCCTTCTTTTCAGGCAGGCAAAAAAATTGAGTCTGAGGCGGTACCAAAGACCCAAGGGGGTTCCGAGCTGAAATGCGAAAAGGCCCGCCTGGAAGGTCTTCCCGAGCGCAGGGCGAGCAGTTCCCCAGGTCTCGAGTACCGTCCCCGGGTAGATCATTAGACGTCCATGCCAGTCTGGTATACAGAGCAAGAATCGATCACGGTCAACTATATTGCAGCTCTCTACTGTACCCATGCAACTGACTGGGTAGTGAGTATCCGGGCCTCCCTGGCTCTTACACCTGCGCTCGCACGCAGGAATAAGCCCAGACGAGACGTACAAGTCTCAAGACTCCTGGCGTCTGTCTGTCTGCAGATCTAGCCCTCTCACCATTTGATGCCGCCGACGGCGTTGTCTCTCCTTGCTCAGACCCTGTTACCTGCTACGGTAGCACAAGAAACGGAAAGGCAGGAGAGCAGACAGGTACGAAGCACTCGTACGAATGAGCGGGAAGATCCTAGCACCCGTGGCATCCTAGCGGATCTCCGGTTGGCGGGCTCGAAAAAGGTCGGGGTCGCTGGGGGCCGCGTGGTGTTGCCCCAGATTATCCACCCCTGAAAGCCAGAGGCTAGTTTAAAGAGAGAAGGCCAGAGAAACAAGCGTGACAGAAGTTCAGAACCGAGGCCAACCGCCTTGTGCCACCCTGTCGGCGTTGGGTCTAGGTCGGTTTAGTTCCAGCATCATGTGTGCTTTTCATCGACTCCTAGACCTAAAGAGAGAGAGCTGCAAAACTGTAAAAGCGAAGCATCGGACCTCACACCCACCCAGTTGTTATTGTTGGCCCTGTCGCCGCCTTCGATGTTCAATTTACTTACTAACTGCTGAAACTGGGAGAATCCAGTCTGATGACCAGAATAAGATGAGCGTCGAAACCGAGAAACCCGTGGAAACCGACACAGCCGTCTTAAGCGTCACGCGCATTGCAGAAAGCAGAAAAAAAAGGGACAAAAAACAGGGCGTGCAAGGCTACAAGCAAGCGTATTGCCGGATCAAAATCTGTCCAAAACACCAATGCCGTATACGCCGTACACGCCGTAGTAGTCATTAGTCGAGAAAGCGAAATGTCTCCATCTCCCCATCGAATGGCGCCATGCTTTGCTCGCACGTTTTGTCAAAAAAGAATACCTAAGCCAGGGCTCAGGGGGGGCTTGACACCAAATGCCAATGCCAATGCCTTGGGTGTTTCTCATGACTTGCCCCCGACCCCGTCATGGTGCTTTTGCTGTTAGTCATAGTAATAGCTCTTGTAGTCATGGTTTTCCCTTTAGTGGTCGGTCACGCGCAACGTAGAAACAACAACAGTACCACAAATCGACGATACTAACCAAGTTCCAACCCCCCTCCCCCCTTCTCCAGACTCCCCATCTCCGGCATCTCTGGAACAGGTCTGAGAAATAGGTCGACCTAGCGGGTGCTGGGGTACTTGACTTCTCCAAGTATCCGTAGTACAGACGAAAGTCCCTTGGAGGCGAGGTTCCGTCAAAGTCAGAGGGGGTCTTCGCGTACCTGGTGCATGTCTTACCATCTCTGTTGGTTTTGCCAATCGACGAATTATTGGGCAGGCAAGCGGCATAACCTTCCCCAAACTACAAAGTCGCAAGCTCGGGTTTGTCCCACAGTCAAGTTGACAACACATACACAACCTACGAAAAAGAGATGCCTGCCCGCTCGTACCCTCCAGCCAGCCAGCCAGCCAGCCACTCAGGACCCGTCAAAATTACCCCAGGTTTTCCCCTCAAAAAACTATTCCCATATCGTATCTAAACCAGACCAGACTCGGATAGGAAAGTTGTACTACCTTGCCTCGGACAACGGCACACCCTCAAGGCACGCGCCTAAGGTAGCCTCACCACTTAGCCTCAGATCACTTATTCGCCGCCTGCACTCCCCTCAGCTTCACGCCCAACGCAACTACTCCTGTGGACGGTCGTGTTCTGAAGCGCCCACCCCCTTTTTTTGGGTTTCTTTGATGGTCAAGAAATTTTCCAAAGAGCCAAGAGGTGGGGATGTTTACCCCGGAAAACCACATCCTAGCCCCAAATGAATATGCGACATGTCACAGCCAGGGCAATCTTCTTCCTCTCTGTTTCTACCATGGGGTCGTCGATATTTGTACTCCCCCATTCTTTTTATTCACCGACTTATCGAGGT